TAGTAGATTATTCAATTAGATGATTTTGATAATCAATTAATCAATTATTAAGTACAAAATCTGCAGTTCCAATTTTGTTTTTTTATGTGAATCTTTGCTGGTTTCTCAGTTTTATATGACGGTAAATGTAATATCTGACAGTTTGTTGAACAAAATAAGTCAATTGAAGATGTTATCTTTTAGTTTTAGTAAATTGAGATGGAAATGTAATATTATTTTCTGGTATAGAGCAAACAGTTAATCGAGAGAGTAACTGGCAGATAGTTAATATTCGTTGCAGCCCCAGACAGTCTACAGAAAAGCAAAGTATACCAACAAATATACTGTTCAAGTCTTTCTTTTGCCGGAGCAGGTCTCAAGTCAGGTTTACCCAAACAAACTGGAAGTCAGGACTCAGGTCTATCACGTCTCTGAATACTGACCAGTCACATTGATAACATGGCAGTTGTTCGAACATTTGAACATTTCCTTTCAAAACCGGTTCAACAGCGTTTGTCAACGGCCCGGGTTGTGTTTCAATGGAACCTTTATTTGACAAAATGGCTGTGCTATGACTTCATGCAACAAAAAGAAAGAATGAATACTCTGAATGTTGCACACTGACCCTCTAAGGACACAATGTGAAAGTTCTGCTTCAGGTGACCTGGCTCATATCCAAGTCTCAGTTACAGCTCGAGCCATTACAACCAGTACTAGTAAATATGTTTTGATCGTGCCAAGACAGGATCGAAATAGGCCTTTGTAATGGCACCATTAAAAGAGAACATACAGTGTGTGTGTATATACATACATACATACATACATACATACATATATATATAAATAAAGGAATCTTAAATGGAGGGAAACAGTTCAATATAACCTTCAGATAAGAAGCAAATTGGTATCAAAGTGTAGCGGCTGCAATAAAGACAGGAAAGTCAGCTAATACAGTCATGAGACCAAAATGTGACCAGCTCTCCCCATTGCGCCCCGTAGGCACAGCTCTGAAAGACTACGCAGCATGAGCCGATACCATGCTGGCATGCCACCCCGAGTCTTGCAGCTCTAAGCAGCTGTATGACTTAGTAATGTAAAGCATGTGATGCCTATTCCTCTCAACATCTGGAGCTCATGGTTATGTGAGCCTATGAAAACCCAGGTTATACCAGCAGGAACAGTGCCAAGTTACTGCTTCTAGACCTCTTTGCTTAAATAACAGAGAGAGAGAGAGAACAAAATAAAATACCCAACCTCTCCTTGCACATTAAATAATAATAACTGCAACATATTAAACTTTTATTCCCTCCAGTGTTCTTCGGGTAGTACACAGCACATGCAAGTCAGCTGCACGCCTGCCCAGGAGCTCCAGCTCTGCAGGGTGAGTGGAAGCAGTGTGTGTGTGTGTGTGTGTGTGTGTGTGGGGGGGAGATCAGCTGGGTAACATCTACAGGGAAGCACTCCATTCATAAAATCAACAAACTGAGACTCTGACTCCAGAGCCGCTGGAAAAACTTTATCAGTCATCTTCAAATGGGCTTGTGTTGGATTAGAGCGTGAGATAACAGAGCTCAGAGACGCATAACTCAGTCACTCCACAGGCTGAAACACGCAAGCAGCTACACACAAACAAACACGGTCAGTACACACACACACAAGTACTGCTAGAATCTATTCTGGAGCACCATAAAGTGATGCAAGACCATTTTCTACCAACTCACAGAGCGCCAAAGCCCGAGCCGATGACCAGTTCAACCAGCCTCTGTTACGCAAGAGACTGTGACTTGCAGTAACGAAGCTCTATTACGGATTGATGATGAAGATCTGATGAAGCAGACCAGCATTGATGCATCAGCATTAGTTCATTAGACTGCTCAGAGCAGCAGCACACAAGTCTCAATCATGTAAGCCGGGGCATGTGACCAGGCCAGCACTGTGGGAAATTACTCAGGTCTGCACTGAGGCAAAAAAAGCAACGGCTGCTCTGGCGTCTCAGCTAATAAAAGGATGTCGGTTATATATCAATATCGCATTACGAAGCTAAGAGATCATCTGTAATGATCTGTAATACACAGTTGGGCTAAATGATACAATCCGACTGTTCAATTTGAGTGAAATGAGCAGACGTGTGCAGGTGCTTGGCCGTCACATCCACGATATACATTATTATGTTTTACTTTTGTAAACACGGTGAGGCTGTCTTTAGATAGCTGCATAAAAGTGGCAATAATGAAAATAATGTTAGAGACCATTGTGGGCAATGTTGCCGACGAGTGAGCCGGACTGATGGATTGATCGATTTGATGAAGAACCGTTATTTGTCAGGTCTTCCCCATCTGCTTATTGATTTTCTAGATAATGTACTTTATTACAACATACATAAATATCATAAAAGGTTTTGCCCACGGCCGGCTCGCTCCTAATCTCAACTTAATATCCAAGCACCGGGTATATTATGATCGTTGATTTAGTCAATACTGCCTCGTTTTCACACTGTGTAATAACAATAATACTGACTTTGGCTACATGTCACCTCCTCTTGCCATTCAGCCTGAGCTCCTCCAGACAAGACTAGACAGGAACTCATTAGTGAAAACATGAAGGCCGTGCTCGCCCCGAAGAGGAAGAGGAACAGTTATACCAAACAAACACAAACGTTGAGACAATGTCTGAAGCCTAATAAACAGTCCACCCTCACCAGACAGCACGCAGTCACCAGTGGGCGTACGGAGGACTTGGCAGCCACTCAAGGCGGCATTGACTTGTTACTGGCAGTGACAGCGTGTCTCGTCCGACATCCCAGACTATCCGGTAGAAATGTGTCTCAAACTAGTGCCAGCTGCTCTGACGTGCACTCTGTTGTCTGTTTGTTGTTGTTTGTCCGAGAGTTTAAGGAGAGTCTCTGTCTCCGTCGTTTCATGGCAAAGAAACGACGCTACCGGGGAGCTACCGGGGAGCTAGTTAGCTTCCGTTACGCACCTTAGCATCCAGCGCTAGCGAGCTAGCTATTTAGCCTGCTATCGTCAACGTTACGCCCGTGTGTGGTTTTTTGGGGGTGTTTTTGCAGCTAAGACAGCGCTGTTTACCTCACAGAGAGAGCCACCGTGTTTTAACAGTACAGACAGGCGAGCACGGCAAAATGCCACCGGGATCTCTGCTGGGTGTCTGACAGACAGGAGGCAGCATGCATGGGGGGGGGGGGGGGGGGACCTGCCACTCAAAACCACCGATCAGTCACGACGGCACATAAAGCCCAGAGGAAGGTAGTCCACTGACTAAAGATCGGATCACGTACCATTCTCTTCACCGTTGAGACTCAGGAAGCGCTGCGTGGTGGCTCTTATCCATCTATCGGCGGTGCTCTCTGTTAGCCTTGGAAGGAAAGCCCGGTGGACGTTTGAGAGATCCGCTTCGGCTGCAGCTCCAGCGGAAGGTTGCTTTTTCATAATTGTGCGACTCCAGACTGACGCGGCGTGACGAGCCGGCTGAGTCAGCCCGCACGCTGTCACGTGGCCGAGGCGGAGCCAGCGGGCCACATGTGCGCTTTGTTTTAGTTCCCAATAGTGACGAACAGCCAGCAAAGAGATGCATTGATTCAACGTCCCTCGTCCTGTGTCACTGATAACAGGGCGAATGGCTCTACAATAACAAAGCACGGTTCCCCTTTATGATAAGGTGCCCTTACTTAAATACTTATATTAATAATGGCTTTAAATGTAATGGCTTTTTTTAAAATCATACAGAAGTTATTTAGAAGAACAACGTTGTGGGTGGTTTTAATCCTCATCCATTTATTTATTTATTTTCTTACAACTCTTTAATTCATCAGCAAGACCACCTCCTATGTACCGTTAATAATAATAACTTTATTTATATAGCACCTTTAAAAACAGACAGACATTGACAGACAAAGCAGCAAAAACAAGGCAATAACAACAGAAAGCTCAGTGAGACAGTTGGATACGTTAAAAATAAAATAAGAAATAAATGAAATAGATTAATAAAAGTTAAAAAAATGACCCTCCTATGATAGATTTGTAGACATAGACCGAAATCCAAGTAATATACAACTTTTATATTTGCAGACTTAATTATTAATATCCTTTATTAATGATTTATTGACATATATTACTGTAGACTTTAGAACCTGATAAAAAGAGAGAGCCATTAACATGTATTAATATTTACCTACATTTATAACATGTTATTCAAGCAGATAAGACAAGCACATTTTGTTTTGACCTAGTTAACTAAACTTGTTATGGATGGCTTCTAACTGTTATAAAAAGCCTTCATAAATTAACCATTAATACTATATCAGTCACGAATGAGTTCGTGGCACAAAGGAGATATTTAGTGTTTGGAATAACGAACGTTCCTACAGAATGTGTCATAGCTGTCAGTTAAGTCTTTTGTTCCTCATGCTTATCATGAAGGACAAACTGATTGATTAAAAAAAAAAAAAAAAATACAATTACAACAACTGCATGATTTAGAGCGTATCTAATTGAAATATGATGAAGTGGCACAAGACTCAAACACAAGCATGTGTGCAATATAAACACTAATGAGGACTGTAGACGTCAAAGACTACAGAAGCCTGGTTGGAGGGCTCGTGCTCCTCCTCCGGACAATAACGTTCTTTTATCATTTTACATTCAACAGATTTATAAAAAAATAATTTCAATGGGCTCCTTAGCACCAAGTCCATGAGACACAAATAGTGATCCGACGGTCTTCATTGTACCAACTGTTTTATCATCTTCACACCGTCGACATCCTTTGTTGCAGAATGAATTCAAAGAGCCTATTGATTGATGCTTGGCCCCGTCCGGCCCCCGGCTACCTCACAGAACAGAAAAGGCCCCACAAGTCGCTTAATAAGCCGTCTTTCCTCACAGCTCGTACACTCAATAACAGCTGCGTGGAACAGAGCAATAAGTCACTGCTGGACTTGATTTTGTGTCCCCAAGTATCCGTGTGGAAGTTTCAACAAGGAACACAATACACCTACAACAACATTAAATATAAGTTCACTTTATTATAAGGCGATAAAAGAAATCACATCATACAAACTGGTTACACAGAAACCCCAAAACAGTTATCAAAAATGTATCATATTGTGGCTACAAGGAATTTAAACCCCCCCCCTGATGAAACAACTGTCAAGCTGAATATTATAAAGTGCTTCCTCATTTTGTCGTATGCAATCATCACAAAAGGCAAAGTCATCACAGTCTTCTGAAACGTGAGCCTAACAAACCTCTCAGGCACTAAAAAAGCCAACACAATATTCATTAACCTTCTAGCCATTTGCAGCAGACAAATAAACACGTAGAGTTTGACGAATCTGTTGATCAATAGCATGTGTTCTCTCGCTCTGCAAATGTAATATTAAAATGTTTTTAAGAAAGCATCCAGCGGTGGGGTGCATTCTCAACCCTCTAAGTCAGCAAATTTGTCCTTCCGCGGAGCAGTCGGTCCTTCCCTCTAAAGAAAAAGAGAAAAGAAAGAATTCATATTTTTGGGGGTTTACCAAATACAATTGACAGACGAAGAGATTTTAGGAAGTTTAAATTGCAAAGCGCACTGCATGTACAACACCAGACGAGCTGCATGTTGTACATATAGCAAGTCACAGAGAGAACACATCCTGGTCCCAATAACTGCAAGCAACATGCAGACATGTAGGTAACTGTGTGAAGGATGGAGGGATGCAAGTATTAATTCCTGCTGGGTGGAAAAGATGGATGAGTGGAGAAAGAATGATAAAACAAGCAAAATGAAATAATGAGGGGAAGTTAACGGTATTCCAGGGCCATAGCTTTAACACAAGGTGTGTTGCTGAGAAGTTCTTCAGACATTTTTCGATTATTTTCAATCAACTAGAGACACCTAGTGGTGAGTTAATGCAGAACTATGTACTGTCCAAAGGTAGGTCCCTCCAGGTTCTTTGTATTTTAAAAAGGCATTTGATCGGTTGTGTCTGTAAATATCACATTGACCCTGGAAGTCAGGGGTTAAAATGTCCAAAGAAAAAGATAAAAGGGGGACTAAAAGAAGCCCCGAAGAAAAGCTTAAGGCATCGCAGTAAGCAACACTATAACAGGGCGTGAGAGATGGAGGGGTGAGGTCTGGGTTGGAGGGAAGCAAACCTGGCAGCAAAGGTTCCCTTGATGAGTCCAAGACCTGGTGAAGATGAAGCCAGATCAGAATTATCTCTTTCCTGCTCTTTTTTTGTCTCTCACATAAAAAGACGAGCATATTCATGCGACACATCCATGCAATCTCGGACCTCGAGGGAAGAAATGTTCACAGCTTCAAAGGATTTTGCAGGATCTTTGTTAAACTACAAATGTACTATATTAAGCCAACTTCATAACTTCCAAGCAGCCATTGATTCAGTTCATGCTAGTTGCAGATGAAACATGAATAATTAAGTGTGTTACTTAAATTATGTTGTTCTTTGCTTTAAATTTGTTATGACACACTGCTTAATATTTGAATCTCTATTTTACACACATTTCTTTATTCTTAATTATCATAACGTGTCCTTAAGTCATTGTGGGAGACGTCACCAAATGGTAATGAACGGGTGTGACACAGCACACGCCGGGCTAAAGGAGGATGTAAAAAAACAGATGTCTTTCCATTGCCGATCACATTCGGTTCTTCAAAGACAACATCTTGGAATAGAGTCGGTCAATACACTACCAGTGGGTGACTCACAGGAATGTCTGAAGTGCGAGCCTGAATTAGGGTAAGTGTAATTACAGTGTGGTGATGCTGTAGTGTTTACTCAGTACCTCCAGCTGCAGAGAGCTGAGCTGACATCAAATTAAGGTTAGAATAAAAAAAGGGGGCAAATAGTAGTAAAAAGAAAACATGCCTCACGTTAAAAAAAAAAATGCAGCTTCTATTACACGTTCTCTTGTGAGATTCATGCTGTGAACCATGCAGTCAATAAAAAACAGCAGCGTCTACGATTGAAACTTCTACCGGTCACAACAGAACGAGTTCACATACTTTTCAACATCAGGTCAAGAAACAGTAAAGAAACAAGGAAACCTGTCAGCAATCATTTTCCTTGAGGCTGCCATTCAATAAACGGCCTAATCTCAGTTCACCTGCATGACACACTGGCAATGATGAAAGCTGTGTAGCTACATTTTTACTGTTTTGTTTAAAACATAAGCAGAAAGAGAAAAAAAAACATCTTACTCTGCAGAAAGTCTGCAATAATGAAGCCGCAAACCCTCGGAGCAGACCAGGAAATGTCTGAACAGCCATTTATTATGTTGTGCGCAGGCAGCTCGGCACTAAAGCTTGTACGCCTTGTTTGTGTAAGTAAAAATTAACAACATCCTCCGAGTGACTAGCAGTGAGCATATGACTTGTCAATAAGCCTCGACTGTGTTTTTCCGTCTTTGGAACAGTGCCGTCTGTGTTGACTTTAGTATCATGAACTGGTGGTGAAGAAACATACGTCACAGATAAAAGTAGAGTGAAGTTCTCCAGAAATACACTGAAAACCTGTATGAACGCAGGAAGTCCCACAGGAAGTGCCCAAACGGCACAGAATAACTTTAAACTCTCTCTCTCACCGGTCGTCTCACCTCATAGGTGGTTCCTGCCCAGAACTGCCTCATCTCTCCCCTGCACCCGGCCACCACGGCGGAGGTGATCAGGGTGAAGGGCACCAGGTAGAGTAGAGCGGGCTGGCCCATCCCCGACAGCAGCATCACAGCAAACGTCACGATCATTCCCAGCAGATAGGCTACAGGGAGAGAGCCGGACAAACACAAGCACAGTACACTTGTTCTCACAGGATCAACGATGGATATATATATATTCAAGATATATTAATACAACGATAGTTGAACGGTGATGTACCTATGCAGCAGCAGACAAAGTAGATCTTCCTGCTGCTGTTGATCCAAACATCAAATCTGCTGCAGTAGGCCACCAGGAGACCTGTTGGACCAACGAGGACGCAGAGGTTGAGTCATCACACTATAAATGTTGACATTATTTATTGCTTCTCAGCTCAGAAGCCGCGCTGCTATTTGTATTTCTGCTTTTTTTTAAATTAACATAGTTAGTTTTGGTACTTTTAACGCAACACGTGAGACCTGGGCCACACTGCCTGTGTGACCTCTACACATCAGTATTTACAGCTGTGTTTAAACACCGTCTGTGATACTTGGAACTCACCTGGAACAATGATATCTCCGTAGCCCAGGATGGAGAACTGCATCCCACACAGGTTCTGAGCCCAAGCTGAGAACCGTGGGACACGCATGACCACTGGCAGCTGAGCAGAAAACACATTTGATATGTTTATAAACATAAAGTGTGAGAGCAGAATTATTGTGTTGTATGCAACCAAATACAGTGAGCTCTACATTGTGTTACACTGACTCAATCTGACGCTTTACTTAATATCAGTTTCTCAAAGCAGTGATTTGGTGTGTATTGCTCGAGACCATAAGCTATGCTGCAGGAAAAGTCCTGCTTACCCCGGGGAACTCTAACTGAGCAGCAAACACACTTACAATAGTCAGAAAACAATGCTTTCAAATGGGATATACATACAGAAACACTTCTATAAAAACAAAAGAATGGGACACCCTGACGGCCAAATACAACACGAAAACATTGCTCAGAAAGGGATTCAGCTTGAGCAGAACTGCCGTGTTCAAAATACAAATCAAGTGACTTGACCAGACGATCATGTGAGAGTCTGACGTGTGTGTTTCTTCCCTTTGCACAGAGGTACGGTAAAAGCATTATGTATATCTCGCATGAACATTGTTTTCATGAGGAGGATAACAGCCAAGAATGTCATGAACATTATAGATTAGATCACATTAGGTGTGGGTGGGCTGAAGGGGTCCGTGGCTTTAAACTGTGACTGTAGTTGAAAGAAGACTAAAACCCAAATTATGCCCGATCAGGGCCGCCATCTTTCTCTGCTAGAGACTGACCTCTGGTGGCGCGTTCTGTGTACTGCAATCGTCACATCATTTCAGCATTATAAAAAGTGGAGCATCTGTATTTATGACAGCATTTAAAATCATACCATCGGGATTTTTTTTTTTTTTTTTTACATACTCTGGTATATATATTTCGTAGTACAAGCCTAATACACACGGACAGTATGGGCACCAAGACACAATTGTGGGTACAATATTATCCAGTAATATATCATATATTGTGTTTTATACTTTTAGCTGAAATAATGCTTACTTTGGGTTTTTTTCTCCAGTTAGTAAAATTTGAGTTTTGATGTGTTTGGGCAGTCCATGTGTGTTTATAGAATAATATACAAAACAAAAGAAAGAACTTTCCGTATCATATTTTTAATCACATAGTTGGCGAGCCCTTTATAAAAGGGGAGTTCTGCTCATGAGAATCTATCTTGAGACCAAACATCTACGACGGCCTCAGGATGTCGCATTAATAAAAGGAGGGGGAGGTTAACAAGTCAGGCCTTACTTTCTCAGAGGGAGCCTGGGGTTCAGCCGGGACCTCCACCATGTTACCTTGCGTCTACGACAGAGCCCACCCAACCCCAACGCACAGTTAGTCAATCAGTCCATCGGGCCTCATCGGGCATCAACAACACGCAGTGCTGATCAGCCAGCATGTTAATAAAGCTGAAGGCGAACTCCACCAAGCTTAGGTTGTAGATTGTTCTCCAGGACTTAGGTGAACTCTTGCACACTGCTCTTCCTGAACACACATTCACTCCTTCAATTGAACTCACTAATGGAACCATGTTTCTCCCAATAAAGTGAAACATTTTGGGACTCAAAAACCATCCTAGGTCAGCATAAAAGTGCCTGAGTTGGTTGAAAGAAAATGGTGATTTCCTATAAATGATAATATAAATGATAATTCCAGATATTTAATAATGTACAACAATAGGCTGTCCTTTAATATTTTTTCAACCATTTAAAATCTCATGGAAAAAACAATGAAAAGACTCAATGTGGCATCTGATCATTTTGAAAATGCCTGATCGATTTGGTGAAGTTCCCCTTTGAAGGAAGAAGCAATGCAGGAGGACTGACCTTCTCTCCTGATGCGTCCGGGCCCAGGGCAACCTGCACCATGATGCTGACTCCATTCTGTGACAGAGAAGAGAGGCCAAGCATTCTTATTGTGTTACTCCATGCCATCAAACGCCTGAGCTGCAAAAACATCTCCTATTCAATGACGTTAGGTGTCAGTGTGCATTTGTGTGTGTGTGTGTGTGTGTGTGTGTGTGTGTGTGTGTCGCATCACTTCTTCACATAAATTAAGCTTTTGTGCACATGTGAAATATGTTAACTGGACGTAAACAACGAAGAGGTCAACATATAAGTGGCAGTTAAGTCTGTGAAAAACCCAACTGCTCCAACCCTGAGAAAATTCAACTAAATAAATACATATACATACATATGTATACATACATATACTCATACCTTGGTGAAGAAAGGAGTAATGAAAACGAAGAAGACGTCATACACAAGCAGGAGGCTCAGCAGAATCACACAGATCTATGTCATTATGGGGAAAAAAACAATCAAAGATTAATTCCAGAAGTGAGAAAAAACATTTATTTGAACATTTCAACACTGCTTTATCAGCATTGACAACAATATCTAGTACAATGGGACAGCGTGTGACATGCTAATGACAGAAGATAATAAATATTAAGAATATATTTCTGGCTGTGAAGAGGTACCTTGAAGTTGGACAGGGAAATGGTCTTCATGAAGTTGAGGCAGAAAGCAACGCCAAGGAGGTCCTGCAAGATCCAGATCCAGCTACAAAGACAAAGAAAAGCTCTTTTACAGTGTTTGAACTTGAGCATGTGTGTTTCTAACTTTAACCTGCTGAAGAAAATTCTACTAAAATCATGACACAAAGCCGAGAACAACATGAATGAAAGTCATATGTTTGATATTTTACCGAGACTTTGACTTCAAATGTTTTGTTTGGGTCGTCACTCAGACTAAACTGTCTGAATAAGATCAAAACAGCAACACAGACATTGTGACAGGTAGGCTGAAAATAAAATAGCATCTACTATAAATAAATAAATGTGTTTTCCCCTCACAGTACCTGTCTTCATTCCTGTAGACGCCCCAGACCACAGCAATGCTAATACACACAGCAGCCAGTATGAGAGACCTCACAGAGAAGTTGTAACTTCGGATGGAGAAGCTAGAAAAAGACACAGACACATAAATAAAACTTTCAGCAGTTTGTCTGCCAGGGTGTGATTCAGAGACAGACATGCCAACACACTGTGACCATAATGTCCGTCTTGTTTAGATGTGTTACTGAAATCATGGGGGAACCAGGAAAAGCAGTAAAACATTCACACGTATTCACTTATCATCAGGTAGTATTGATACATCTGGCTGAAATGGTTATTTTTACATTATTCATTTTTGTGAAGTTATAACACTGTCTGCTGGTCTAAATCACACAATTGTCTATTTCATAGTTTCCCCAACAGCAGTGGAATGTGCGTTTAGATTATTTAAAGAGCAATGCTCATACCTCCCCGTGCCACAACCAATCTTTTGCATCACCGCATCTAGACAGCTGAACAGTGCAGAGGCAGACGCAAGGCAGAAGATAGCAATAATGACGTAAACTGGGGGAAAAAGAAACACAGATCACATTAACCAAACTTCAGATATAATCACTCCTCCTCCTTCCAGTACTTGAAGCGGGCCGGTAGGTACCCACGAGTACACAGTTATCTATAATAATGGTCCATGATGTACAATTGCATAGTTTTAAGTCAGAACCCTTCAAATGTTCTTGGGGGACGATTACCAAACCCAATATCTCCTTGTTTCTTTTAGTCAGTTAATAATATGAATGCGTCTCTTAATCCTGCTGCGTAATATGTGCGAGGATCTTGACTTCTAAAACCTGAATCAATGGCTCACACGCCTCAGCTCGGCATGCACACCCGCCTGCCCGACTGGCTGGTGTTGATTCCACGCTATCGTACGATACCATAGGCTACAAATAACACAGGAAAGCACTTTAAGGATTAACACTTTGGGTAAATGTAAAAACATACTACCTTAAAGCTATAATGTTTGAGTTGGAATATTATTGGAGTATTACAGGCCTACTATAGAAGATACATAGCTGTTGGGAAAAATCGAATGACTAAAGGAATGTTTTGCATGTTTTGCATTTGCGTGAACTTCTTTTGACACCAAGCGTCTCAGCTGTTTTTGCGATTAGGCATCACAGCTTTCTACTTGATGAGCATTTCAGCTGTTTGTCCTAAATGAGGGATAATAAATCTGTTGAGCACGTCAATGTTTACGCAGAGCTGATTTGCAACCATGACGTTCCTGATTGGGGTAAGGTGACCCTTTTACTAGAACGAATTGTCAAAGAGAAAGTGGTGTTCCAGACCTTATGCAGATTACTCTGTGCGAACGCAATCCTTCTTGCAAGAAGGAACAGAGTTGAACACATACAGGTTAATGCGTCAAGGCTGCTCAGAGGTCTGTCTCTGAGTTCCTGACATATATACTGCAAAACACATGCAGTGTGCTGGCACAGGGTAATTTGCAAAAGTTCTTGACACAACGGATAACACACGAATTGCGTTCGCACAGAGTAATCTGCATAAGGTCTGGAAGGGAGTGCTGGCGCTTATTTTTTTCCACTTCAAGCATTGACTCCTTCAGAGTATATAAGAGCTGTATATCTGTACTACCACTTACCGAGGACGTTGTAGAAGAAGTACATGAGGACCAGCATCACACACATCAGAGCGACAAAGATGACCACTTTGAGAGGAGAGTACAGGAAAAGCTCTCCGCTGTCAGCTTTGCTCTCTCCCCCTCCTCCATCACCGTTCAACCGATCTCTGCCAACAACAGAAAAACGTTTGATTTTATCAAATGTATCGCAGACATATTGTTTATAAAACTGGTGGTTCTTAGGGAAAAAAAGACCAGGCAGCATCCAATACACAGAGAGTGGACCGTACAGTTGCATTCAATGTGATATAATAGCACTGCAATAAATATGACCTTTGGGAAAGTATGTGTTGCTTGTTGACAATGGCATCTACTGTATGTTGACATTTCAGTAAATAATACATTCACATCGACACTTAATTACATTGTCACTGCATAATAACCACCAGCGTGTCCCACACATAGATTTTACTTGGCAAGCCGCCCAGGTATATTAACGACTATCCCAAGTAAATTAAGCGACCCATTTTAGCAGTTTTAACAATGCAGCAACTATATTTTCTGCTAATATGTGCTCTAGTGTGATTGAATTAAAATGTATAGATAGTGCACTGTACGTGAAGCTGCAGTGTCCCACCTCTCACACGCCCCGCTCCAGAAGCCGCCCAAGGCGACTGTGACAATGGCAATCAGCAGCATGACTGCAATGCTCGCATCAATCTTTGGGTGAGGTGGTGCATAAAGCTTCACCTGCATCCCTTCACCAAACTCCTGAGGACATACATAAGGATCAAACATTTAATAAGGAACTTTTCCAGTTTAACATTCTTCATCTCATTGACCTTTATAAGAGGGGTGGTACCAAGACTGAAAAGTAAGGACTGACCGGCTGTGCTTCAAGGAAGTCCCTGTACCTCATGAGAGCCAGAGGAATATGGATCTGTGTGTACTCTGAGTCGTTGGCTGATGGGGTGATCTGAAAATCAGAGAAGTAAAAGAGACATTTTCATAAATGCAGTCATTTAGAATTATTTGTCTAGCTGTAGGCGAGTCATTTTATGCATGTTATATGGGCAAACAACAAGTATGACAAGATCACACAGTAAACCAATCATGTCATGAAACAAGAAAATTTGGTTTCCATTTTAAATGGAAATCCCCACAGCCACACCACTGTTATCGTGCGTCACTTCCGTGAGTCACTTCTGCATGTGCATCTTACATGTTACATTCGTACATCTGGACGTTTGTATTATGATCACGTACAGATCAACAACAAAACAAAAAGATTACGGTCCTCCATGAGAGTTAGCTGATCATGAATACACCTGAAATATTACGAAAATATCAAATCACATTCCCATGAATATTCTACTGACAAAATACAGTTTGATGTGAATGTCCTACCAAGAATGTGTTGGTGGCAATGAGCAAAGTTGTAGCTCCGAGGCTCTGAGCAACCAGAGCTTTCTGGCTGAAGTCACAGTCCCCCCTCATCACCACCAACGCTTTGCCCTTCACCACATCCGGACTGACCCCGGAGTTGTTACACAGCACCGTGCCGGTCATATTCACCAGTGGATACTGCAACTGAGAAAGTGGAGACAGCACGTAATGTAGCGATTAGGATAGGTGGAGAGTTTCCTAGAATTTTCCCCATCAAAACATTGGGAAACATAGAAGAAGTCACACAATTGCCACCAGGTTATAAATACAGGCTGTATAAGTGTATAAGAGATTTTACATTTTTAAGTTCATCTTAAGTTTGTCCACTGGCCACTTAAGCAGGCAACCACTTATAGAAGGATATACAATTAATAAAATATATAAAATAAAACAAATAGACAGAAAATGGAAAAAAATTGCTTAATATGTAAATAAAAGAATAGTGCTGGAAGAGGTTTGAAGAACTTACAGCAGCATCGAGGGTTTGTGACAGCGGGGTCCAGGAATGATTGTGGACGATACAGTACTCCTTATGTGTACTTCCATTTGAGACGTGCAAGATTGCCTCTTGGCAGTTTATCTGTCGGGCAACAAATGTTATTCTTTTGAGTTCCACACATATTGAAAATATTGAAGAAAGTACCTTACCCCAAACCAGTCATTTCAATAGCATTAGACATAGTTAGAGCAGTGACACATACATACTGTAGTTACATTAACTGCTCAGTGATCAATAAGTCTGTCTCTATATGTTATGATCTCTCACTCCTGAAATAAATATGTAAAATACTTCCTTGTTGATGACGTAGTAGAGGACGTTGTCAAAATCACTCTCGGCTCAAATTAAACTATTTAACTTAACGCCAAGTAAACTAACTTAGATTTTAACGACCAACACACGAGGTGTATGATTCAATTTGAGTTAAGGGAGCTGTAGCCGAGCTGAACCCCACTAGCGGTCGGGCTAACGCTAGCTCACCGACAGCAGCCGTTAGTCTCTCGGGTACCCGAACAACACGGTGCTTCCGATACACATATTAGCTCAGTGTGTCGACTAGCTACATACTTAGAATAACATTTAGACAGTTAACAGCAGTCGTAGCTGGCGTGTTTTTCGACGGTTAGTCCAGCTAAAAGGCCCGTCAGTTGGTGACGCATACTCAGTTCAGTTTCTGTTATAATAATCATCCGTTAACTTACCTGCGATACAGAGAAAATGACCGACAAAATGATGAATCTGACTGCTCTTTCCATTTCGGTAACATTCGTTTTTTGACTACTAATATGACACGGAGACACTTTCTATTCGCTAAGTTACTAGTACGTTCATTGTCGCCACCAGCAGCTGCCAGGCACTTCCTGTATTGGCTGGTGAGTGACACATGACCACGTGCTGAGACGCTGACCCATTGGTTTCACCTCGCAGCGTCTCAACAACAGACATGCACACTATGATAATGAAGAAGTAGCACTACCAAAACCTAGAAATGATGAATTACCAAATGTCATACAGTGAAAATGTAAAAGTAGGCATAACGTACATTAATCCGTTTTAGCATAATATAGCCTAAATTCTCAATAAGGAAGAACACTAGCCTATGGTGTTACTGAGATTATACCGATTGCTTAATTATATGCAGTACATTTGGTCCTTTTCAGGTTTTAAATTAAGTCCTTCTTTTACACAGATTCATTTCTTTCTTTCTTCTTTCTGTACGTGTGTGTGTGTGTGTGTGTGTTCAGGCTCAGGATGTATTATTAATAGTCAAGACTGGAGGAGATAAATGGACTTGAATTTGTAAAGCGCCTTTTAGCCTTCCGACCACTCAAAGCAGTGACCTACTATGTGTATAGTATATACTGTATATATTATCCTTGTATGAGATTCACACTGTAGGCTACACTTGTCACTGCTTATTATCTCTCACTAGGCTATTCTTCCCTCTTTTCCTTTTAGCTTTGCTTCTAGCCTAATCAATGATTCGTGCAAATCACCCATTAAGGTAGATCCTTTTGTCCATTAGAAGAGACGATGTGTCAATATGTTGTGATGGGGTTTATTAGTGGAACTATTACGACATTATGTATACAGCAGAAACAAATGTATGTGGATTTTCCACAATAAGCAGCAGTCATTTACATTTCATCTTGATATAAATATTATATGTGTCTTTTTCCTTTCCCCCTCATCTTTATATGAATTTCAGAGCAATACTTCATCTGTCACTGATTAATGTGTCACTGCATGGCCGAGAAGCTAAAACTACCATATGGTGGTTTTTCAAGCGTACATGGAGACTTCACCCCTGAAGCTCCATAGCACCAAGACTTGAGATAAACACAGCAGCTGCCTTGCCTTGCATGACCCTGGCCTGATTACAAGGCTGTTGCAACTACGGCTTGGGGTTTTTATGTGCCACTTTGAAATCTGCTGTCTAACTAAAGCTTTCAAGGCATACTCTAACTGCTGCTTTAGATGATAACAGTCATGTGGCTTTCAATGCATTTCATATTTCATACTTAAGTTACAACTTGAATCTATACTGATTCATGAGTAGATATTTCGCAGTAATCTATTGTGGGAAACGTCTGTCGTAAATTGACAGTGCATTCTAAATTGTTTGTTTGCATGTAAAGTTGTGTTTTACAAGCAAAGTTTCTTATTTTCAGAACAGGAATTCATAATCTTCATAGATTGCCAAACCAAACCCTGTTTAGACTTCTGAAACACGCATGCTTGCCCATTTGCTCGCCTGAACACACACACACACACACACACACACACACACACACACACACCCATGCATATCGAGCTGAAATCTTTGATGAATGAAATATGCTGATTCCCTCTGAGTGCAACTTCAGAGTGTCCTGAAATTATGCGTTTTCCTTCAGTGTGGGCCACAGGTGGTAACAGTAAAGGTACCAGTGACGGTTGATTGATAAAGTCCCCTCGTATAAATCAACACCCGTGCTGGCCAAGAATCGATGCCTGCCAGAGATTTCTCACTCGTGTCAAACTCTCCATTGAGAGAAAAAATAATAAATGGTCCTTTTAGGCTAATTGTCGAACATTTCTCTGCTGTGTGCTTAACAAGGCACAGGCATTTCAAGCTGAGGGGACTGTGATGAAATGTTTTTGTCAGCTTGTCCTGCCTGTGTGCAGCAGGGAGTTAAACATTGCACTTTCATACATGTGTTGATTGGCCTTCAGTTCAATCCAGCTGTTTACATGCAATTGGAGAGCGCTCTATTCCCATCCTCATTTAGCATATGTATTATCATGCTCACAAAATCTGTCTTTATTCTTGGCGATGATGACATATTTCTGTAGGTTTTCCTGTTACTATCCAGTAGTTTTGTCAGTGTTAAGGTGGATGCTTAAAACATAAAATAGCATAAAATACTGTAGCACTGGCATTATTTAGGATACTGTACAAAATTCGACATTGCTTTGGATCTGTAAATCCATCACAGTGAACATGTTTGGTTCTATTTCTTCAACTTCACATTACTGTTGTCTTGGGTAAAACATGCAGTGGATTTATTTGAAAAGTATAGGTCTGGTATGTGATGTTTGAAACTCTTGTGATATTTGAAAAACTAAAGCCTGCCTACAAAAAAACAACAACTAATAAACATTTTTGGTATATTTTAGAAAATGTAGGACATTAATCTTCAGTAAAAGTAAAGTCTAAAGAAAGGGTCAAATAGACAACATAAACAACATAATTGGCTTAAATGTGGCCTCGTTTGAAAAGGCATGCTTCCAATTTGAGTCACATTAACTTGAAAATGGGGAAATTTCCTCACGTGATTCAAAAAAGCGTGATTCTCATCACATTGTCCCTCTCTACTATCATATATTACATCATGATAGACTGTAAATGAGCTGCTGACTTAAGGATGATGAAATGCTGTAAGAGCAACAATTTAGCATCAATATCTGGTAAAATATAAAGAAATAAAGAAATAAAAGTTGTAAGGAGGACACAGAGCATAAGCTTGGCTGGACATAAAGAACATTATACACAAACTCCAAGGTTCAAATTTAAACCCTTATGTTTGGATTGTGTACAAAAATTACACCGATGGATGTTGGGAATATAGTTATGTGGAAATAAGGAGTAGGGTTCACATTACCATTAGGAACAGTAGTGTAATATGATAACATCTTAAAATACAAAACTGTGGCCAAATGGCCATTCAACATCACTTTATTAAATACACATTTAGTTTTCTTGCATCTAACTTTAATCTACAAATAGTTCAATGTCTCTCCTTTTTTTTGAAGCTTAAAAACACAGCTGTGTATAAATCGAGAGTATTATGTTGTATTATGTGACGCAAATCGAGAGTATTATGTTGTATTGTGTGACACGTCTTCCCTTCAAAAGCTTGTGATGCATGAAGCCGGAGGTCTAGGGTGACAAATAACAACATGTTTTGGGTCAGCATGTTCCTTTCCTTCCTGGCCGTGAGTTAAACATCACATAACTATCTTTTCGAAATTGAAACCCGGTAAATGAATCCATCTCAAGTAATCAAAACAAATCCTGCAACATGCATACAAGGACATCACAAAGGAAGGGGACCATTTACTGGTTTACAAAACCTTCTCGGTAGCTTATACATCTGGAAATGTTAAAGTTTCTTGAATGTTGTTTTTTTATGTGTCCATAAATTTGATCTGTGCATATTTAGCTGTTCAAAACAAAAGTCAGAAAGGTTCAATATAATGCCAGTTGTAAAAATAGTCAGTAAACAAAATAAAACTCTAGGCAGGCACAGTAAACACAAAGGATCACCCCTAATGCACTGTACATCAGCACAGTCCTTGAACAATGCGACCACAGTTACTTTCCTCCAGAGCACTTCAATTATGTTGAGTGCTTCCTTTTAACATACATCTCCAGGCAAAGTCCATATTTCCTGTCCAGGTACAAGTCTCCATGTAAGTCAGAGGATGTGGCGTCTCGACTGAGAAAATGTCACCATATATATATATATGTTTTTTTCTGATCATATAGCACATTTGTAAAAGAGAGACAGAAGAAGGTGAAAAAATAAACTGCTATATATTTTGTTTTTATTTCACAAGGAAGCTTCATGTAAGAGTACATGTCATGAAATAGATATAAAGGTGTGCAGATGAAAACAAATACAAAGAAATGAAACAGAAATTATGTAAAATTTAAAATAAAAGACAAAATAAGAGGACCAAATATAAACGGAGACACTTTATATTCAATTCCAAGTTCATACTTTTATTTTTGGTTTCAACTGGAACATGTTTACCCTCTTTAATGTTAATAAAACTCTCATACTGTGTGTCTGAAGATACCTGTATTCACCCTCTGTCTGAAACACTGTTGGGTCCTTGTTTACTTCCTGTCATTTATGCTGCTTATGGCGTATCACAAATAAGTTTCAAATGAGTCCGTGGAGGTCCGCTGGAGACTGCTGTTCGTGTCCCGTGTGAACGAGGTACTTTTGTTGCCTAAATATAACAAAGTATTTTAGTTGTGTTTTTGTTTTGTTTCATTTTCCATCATTAACCTCTTAACAGGCTGTACAGGCTTGTCTATTCACACCTGCAGTCCACACTAGATTTTGTAAAACTAAACTTGTTTTCCAGCAACTTTTGGAGGATTTCTGTACGGTTTCAAAGTCACAACTATACAATAAACCCTTTCATAGTTTTAAATGTAAACATTCTAAATGTGACCCAGTTTATTTCAGGTTGCAGTGTATGTGAATGACATCAGCTGACAGGAAGTAAACATGAACCCAAGCTGTTGCCTATCAATGCTATTCCATTGAAAATGCACTAAAACACAGTTTTTCAGACAGAAGGTGAATACAGATAGTATTACTTTTTTTAAACATTAAACAACTTCTAACCCAAAATATAAGAATGAACCTGGACACAAGCAGAATAAGTCTCCTTTAAATTTCAGGACAAACACTGAGGAGTGTGAAAAATGCAATGGCTCAGCAGTAGAATGTTTACTTAATACTTCAATAAAGTAATATAAATGAGCAGGATGTACTGCATTAATACAAGGGAAAATAGCTAATAAATTCAATTTAAATATAAATGTCTCACATAGCATATAAGCACCATGTAATGGCCCTTTGAATATGTAATTGGGACCTGATGGTGGCCCTCACTCTTTCCCTTTTCATTTCTACGGTTTTCAAACTGAAATATAATGAGGAGGAATCTGCTGTAAGAAGTTGAGAGACCGCTTTAATTAATCAATCAATCAATGCATGCACAATACTAGGTCCCCCCACAAATCTGTCAATGAGCGTGGAGTCCTCGCCCCTGGGTTTCTGTTGCACGGCTCTGATTGGTAGAGATGGAGGAAGGTGGAGCGGCTGGAAGCGCACTGGACGCACTGGGTAATAGAGGAGCTGAACAGTTGTTGAAGGTGCCACTGCATTGCAAAACTTACAGCAGGCTCCGTTCTGCTATGATTTTAAGCTATTTTGGATCCCAGAATTGCGCTAAAGGGTAAACCAGCAGTCCTGCCCCCTGCACATGAACGTAAGTTTACTTTTTTTGCATGCAAAGCTTGCTGTAGTTTGAGGTTAACGTTAGAGGGGACATGCTACTGTAGATACATTATAGTTTTGTTTTAAATGGGGTTTGGGGCTGCGTGCACTTAGTGTCAAATGTGGGAATGAAAAAAAAAACAGCTGTGCCGAACTGAGTCTTTTTTTTGCAGACACTAACATTGTATTTGTTTTCCAATTTATTTATTTGGGTGTATTTCAAATCATTCAAAGTATGACTGTTTGTCTGTAAGTCCTATCTGTGTGGATGAAGTCGGTAATTCTTACAAAATACCATCTGTGGAGCAGGATGGCAGTTTTACATTATCGGGAGACTCAGCATGTTTTCACCTCGGTCAAAATAAGGACATTTCAAAGATAAGACAGAAACTGGATAAGCGCGTGCATGCCCCATGTGCGTAATTGTGCAAAAATGACCGCTGCTTTGCATGTCACATTTAATTTTGATTAATTAATTAACATTATTAGCATGATGTTATGTGTCGTCTGTTCAACCAACATGTCATTATTTGTGTAAAATTAAAGCTCACTTTTTAATGAACGTTAACATCAGGAGAAAATGGTAAACATGTGAGTCATACATTGAATGGACTCAAAAATGCCTTAAGTTTTTGTTATTCACAGCATCAGTCACTCTGTCAGTGATGCAGCTCTGCTCATGTACAGATGTGGACAACACAATACTAATGTTTATTAAATGCAAGAGAAACTGACAATTATTTTTTCCTGTTGCAGTTTATTGGGAAACAATTTTAATTTGGGCTCACACAACAAAAAATAATTACATATGGAGCCCCATGTTTTTAGTTTTCAAAATTGTAGTTGATTTATAAATATATGTTGTTGGTATAACATAATAATAACGTTTATTTATTACATCCAAAAATAATTAATAAAGCCAAAAATATATATAATCTTCCCTGTTGAAATGTTATTATGATTACTGAGTGAGGAATTCTGAGCAGAACATGCCATATGTAAATTGTAGTTAGCACTATTACAAGCAAGAAGTTTATATCATAATGTACTATATTCACAATTTCCATGTTCCTTACAGTTTGTGAGCTTGATCTTTCCACTGATTTGCAAAGCGAATGACACTCCCTTGTTTCTCTTGATAATATGTAAATAACAGCATTATTCATTCATGGGGTGTTTGTGTTTCTTTTGTAACACAAATGTATTTGGATGCCTGGCGCCCACTTCATAGCCCCCGACTCATTCATCTTTAATTATGCTGATTGTCTATTTTTTTCTTTACTCTTGTTACCAGCACTAATCTTCATGGTGGATGAGCAGAATGCTGCTTCCTCTAAAAGCCTCAGAAAATGAACGCCACTCTGTGTGACTCTTGGGCGATCATGTATCACCTGACAACGGACCACGAACTGAATGCCAACTGCTCCTCGCCCTCTTCCAACTGGACAGTGTGGGATGATGCCCTGCAGCTGCCTACATTCACCATAGCAGCTAAAGTCAGAGTGATTATTACCTTCATTCTCTGTGGCATATCGGCCTTTTGCAACCTAGCTGTGCTGTGGGCGGCATGCAGCGATGGGAAGCGTAAATCCCACGTCAAGGTGCTGGTAATCCACCTGACGGTTGCTGATCTGCTGGTCACCTTCATCGTGATGCCTGTGGACGCCGTGTGGAACATCACAGTCCAGTGGCTTGCTGGGGACTTTGCCTGCAGGCTACTGATGTTCCTTAAGCTGCAGGCGATGTACTCATGCGCCTTTGTCACTGTGGTGATCAGTCTGGATAGGCAGTCAGCCATACTCAACCCCCTGGCTATCAGTGAGGCCAGAAAGAGGAACAGAGTCATGCTGACTGTGGCGTGGGGTATGAGCGTCGTGCTGTCAGTTCCTCAGGTAAGGTCAGGTGTCCACGCTGAAGATAAGGGCCAGAGGTCAGGACTGGTTTTCATTAGATAAACAGGTTTTCCTTAAACATGTCATGTCCAGAAAATGTCTTTGTTAAGATGCATAGAGGAACATGGCCACTTTCCATAGTCTGATATGATTCTTACATCATGGTTGGACTTAAAATAAGTACGTAAACTAAATAAAACGTAAAAGTTGAATGAACATGGCCAGTAGTTTATTCCTTTTGAGTCATCTGTCGCTCAATTACCATTTATTGATTAGTTATTGATTGGTAATTTATTGATTTTCCTCCTTTCCTTCCTCAGATGTTCCTTTTTCACAATGTGACCATCATCCTTCCCGAGGTCTTCACTCAGTGTACCACACGTGGAAGCTTTGTCACTCACTGGCATGAAACAGCCTACAACATGTTCACTTTTTCCTGCCTGTTCCTGCTTCCTCTGGTCATCATGATCACCTGCTACACAAGGATCTTCTGCGAGATCTCCAAACGACTGAAAAGGGACAACTGTGAGTTCAAATGGTGTCAGTGATTCAGTTTACCTCAGTGATTAACTCATATACAACATAACTGCTGTCGTCTCTTTGACCCTTTTATTAATAGAAGCACATTTATAAAAGCTGGGCTTTGTTTGTAAGGTGATTCAATGCTTTTCTGAGTTTATAAGCTACAGGAACCACATCCATTGTAATGTGAGCAGCATTGAAAAATGATATTAAAAAAGTCAACAAGTCCTGGTTATTCATGATAATTCATAGACCCCCGCTGTGCACAATTATTTTCACAGAATGAATCTACTAAGGAAGAAGTCACTAAAATGTTGTCAATTCTGTGGATTATTTAGAGCAGTAATTTAGCTCAAAACAACGCAAGTGTGACTGTTGATTTTAATGTCATTTTTCAAAACTGTGAGATGGAAACCTTTTTTATTGTGCCGTACATACACTAAATTCAATTCAGCTGTTATCATCTGCTCACCAAAGTCACATTAACAAACTAGCTGTACCAAAACCTTCCACTACCTTTCCTCTACCACATGAACCACTCCTTAATCATGAGGAATGACTATCTTTTACACTATGTATTGTTTGTTTGCATTCAAGCCTTGTATAATGTGTGCTATGCTTGTGTCTGTCATTTGTTCTGCTCCCAGTGCTCTCCAATGAATTGCATTTGCGTTGTTCGAAGAACAACATCCCCAGAGCCCGGATGAGAACTCTAAAAATGAGTATCGTGATCGTCTCGTCTTTCATTATCTGCTGGACTCCATACTACCTGCTGGGCCTGTGGTACTGGTTCCTCCCCAACGATCTTGAGGGGAAGGTCTCCCACTCACTGACCCACATCCTGTTCATCTTTGGGCTCGTCAACGCCTGCCTGGACCCACTCATCTACGGCCTGTTCACCATTCACTTCCGAAAGGGGCTCCGGAGGTTTTACTGCAATGCCACCACAGTGTCCGACCTAGACAACAACACGGTTTTAACTGGATCTTTCACTTGTGCTGCCAACTCTTTGCCACTAAAAATAAAGGTGAGCCCTGCCATCCAGGAGAGGTTCATGTTGTGCAGTGATGACCACAGCAAAACAGAGTCGACTTCACCAAGAAGCAGCTTTTTAACAGCAGACACTGATGCAGAGAGAGATAAAAACCAGTCCAGCCCCGAGAGCATCATATGAGGAGAGGACAGGGAGAGACAAAGTGTTTTATTCATTCCAATGTATTCTGTGACTTTCTGTTATGTGGGGTCCTATATTTATTGAGTACTATGTGTCATTTTGATTTACTTTACTTGTAACATGCTTCTGTAAAAAACGCAAAGCCAGCCATTAAACACAGAATTTTGTATTTCCTTGAAGGGGGGAAATTTCATAAAATAAACATGCAGATAAAACACGACACTAACATAATAACCTTCTGTTATAAAGGAATGTTTAGCGCTATGTACATTGTAACTTGTGGTCATCTTGAATTAAATGTATTTACAGTCTCTTGTGAATCCATTGCTGTGGGAAATGTTGCCAATTTTCAGAAGTGAAATTGAAACAAGCCGTCTCAAATATAGCTAAAGTTGTTATCACACAAATTCCTGTTGCACAGGAATGCCATCCAATGTATGTGCAATGTCTTATGCCAACACATATGTATGTCTGTAGTGATGTGTAACAGTAGGATCCCTGAGGGTACTGCTGATGTTAATCAGCGATGATTCACTGTGTCCAAATGGAAAGGCCATTTCTACCCTTTAATTGTGACAAATGAATGTGTGGCGGAGATAACAAATACATTTAAAATCATCCTCAGCTCAATGGAAAAAAAACATGCACTTTTCTTCTTTTGTTCAGAACACAGAATGATTAAGAGAGAGGTAGGTCAAGGTGCAGAGACTCGCATAACATGTATTTTAGAAGTAGAGTATTAAAACTTTATGAAGTTTTCTAATAAACATTATTTATTGAGCAACAATTCACAACTCTAAAGGGAAATCTGAATCACTGAAATTGCAGCATATCACGCTTTTTCCACATCTTACAAAATACACATTTATCCAGAAAATGTATTTAATCCAGGCACAAGGGTGTATTTCAGTCCTCCAGGCCTTATGTGGAAGACTTTCTATGTTACTGCGCCATACTAATTGTGAACTGAAATAAGAAACTCTATCCATTCTTTAAATTGGCCTATATCACCCATCTTCAATTAACTTCTTCTGCATGCATTTCTGCATCTATTTAATCTTGTATGTGACATTGAGGACACCAAAGAATTTCATTCATAAATACTACAGTGTGCCACCAGGATCAGAACATTTTTTAAATATGACCTTGGGTAAAACATTTTCAATGTGTTCAGCTAACGGCGTATTTCACAAAATGTCAAACTACTCTTTTTATCAACTTCATATCATCGTTTCAGCATTTATTATTCTTTATGTAGCAAAATAAGCTCAGTTTCACCTAAATTTGTGTGGCTTTCAACTGTTCAACAGGTTTTCAGTTAGTGAATCCCTGCCACTGTCATTTATGCTGTTTTGTTTGTCTGCTTATGCCAGGTATAAAATAAATGTATAAAAAGGCTATTATTACAGTTAATTGAGTCTCTGGGAACGGGAGAACATATACCCTCATTCTACCAACTGGAGTACCAGCAGGCCTCAGAGGTATACCTTTTGTATGCTTTTAAAACCACTTTAAACAGACCACTGCAACAACATTGTGTTTGAAAAAATCCAGCATGGTTTCAGGGCCCAGCACAGAATGGAAACAGCTCTAGTCAAAGTTGGATGACCCCTCCTTTGATGAAATGGACCAGACATGTGGTACCCCACAGGGCACTATCTTAGGCCCAATTATTTTCAGTCTGTACATGTACCACTTGGCAATATAATTAGAAATCGCAACAACAATTTACATACTGTATATATGGAGACGATACAGCTTTATATTACTGTTAACCCACATGATTACAGTTCCATCAAAAACTTGATCGCATGCTACTCTGACATAAGCCTGTGGATGACTCTGAACTTTTTAGGGTTAAATCAAGAAGCAAAGTGGAAGTGATGGCAGGTTTGTTTTAGCATGTTATAGTGAAAGAAAATGTTAATGAAGCACAAATGTCACAAAAAACGTATTAAATAACATCAAACCACCAGCAAACAGTGACACGAGTTAGAGTAAAGTCTCTGCCTCGTTGTAGGTGCTGAATATAACTTAAGAGGCCATTGCTGCATTGTTTCTACTGTCTGATGTTGACAATAACACATGCCAGGCTCTTTGAATACAGCACCTGCGCTTTCATTGAGCTCTAAATGCTTTGGCATCAACACTCAGCAAAGCTTTTTAGAAATTCAAATGAGGCTTTCAAGCACTTATTAAAATCTGTATCAGTTGTACCAGCTCCTTTTCACAGAGAGACACCACCGTATGATCTGATATGACTGGTGAAGATGGAGCACAAATGATGCAATAATGTAGATACACATTTCTATGCCAACAATGCGAGTGACGCCATACAAATGATCCAAAAAGCGCTCCATCAAATGAACACAACAAGCACATTCTGGCAAAATAATTCCCAGTATTGTTCTGCAGACAATCTAAACTAATACAAAAAGCCAATCAGGAAATACTCAACAGACAACATTGCTGATTGGTTGAAGGTGCAGCAATATGATGTCTCTGATAGATTAAGATCTTCTGATTTATTCTCAACTAACTTGGTGTAACAATGGTACTCAAAAAATATGGACAGTGTTTAGAAGTTGAACACTAGAGCACCCAGCTACTACTGCTGCCAACCAACCTCCATGTGTCTTATGTGTGCATGAACCTCAAAAGCAGGGTCTCTATTTGAATTATCACAAAGAAATGCTTTTAAAACTTTCACTTCACATTTCACTACATATTGGACTAACCTCTCAGTAGAGTAAAGGGGTCAAATAATTGAATAAAATGTTTGTTTTTATTTCCATTAAATTCAAAAACATCAGTGGCATGAGACAGTTTGGCTGCTCAAGGACATACCTCTTCTTTTGTTACTGCTTGAACCCAAACTAAACAGATTACACAATTTGAATCACTTTAAGCAAAAATCTCTGCACCCAGCCCTGTTTTTTTGTGTCTTCTGACATTAAAAACGTGGCCTATGAAACATTCAAGAACCCCAAAGGCAACAAAAAGCCTCCGTGCCATGACAGGATGCAGACATGTCATAATCAGCCTGGATACACTCATCCTGTAAAAAACATATGAGAGACGGTCTTACAGCACCACAGATATAACATTTTTTGCCAAATTCAACAAAATAAACACTCCTTTTTGTCATTCCTTTTTGTACAGCCAGATAACAAAAGGATCAGTCCATCAAGTATCTTTAATTTGTCTTAAAAGGAAGAAAATAAAGTCCTTGAGAAAAAAATGACATTTTATCATTTACATAGCAGCAAGCTAAACATCAGTTACTAGATTCAACGCTACTCCAAACCATATATCATTGATGGTTTATTGGAAAAATATGTCTGCCTGAAATTCAAATTTGTCAGAAACATTATATCTGAATCATCATAAGACATATATATATATATCTCATATATATGTCTTATGATGATTCAGATACATTTGAATATATCTTTTTCTGCTTACTTTATACATTTGTTTAAAAATATAAACAGAAATTCACTATTACTATGATGCACTAATTGCAAAAATTTCACATGGAAAATTACATCTGTGTGTAAATGAGCACTGTGTGTTAAGGAGAATAGTGCAGTAAAGGGAATTAGAAGAAGCTTTTAACCAACATAAAATGAACATGCACACAAACAAAACGTACAATAATACTTCTGTGCAAAAAAATCATTAGCTGCAGTTCTTCAGCTGGCTGCAGCTCTGCTGTGTCTCTGTTGTACCATCACCGCAGTTTCCTGAAGCTGCTTCCATGTCTGCGTTACAGCTTTGTTCCTTTCATCCACAGACAGCGCTCTTCACATGAAAACATAGGAAGCACATGAAAACACACTACTTTAACATCCAACCATGAATTGTTTGTGCTTTGTCCTCGGGACGGGAATCTACATGCTATCTGACTCATCTAAAACAATTGGATATTACATATTCAGGTTATTGTGGTATAAGGACATAAAGATTGCCACCTTTGCTGGAGGTAGAGATTGCAGGTTTCCTCCAGAGTGACACAGCTCTGTGTGTTTAGTTGTCGTGGAGAGTCTGGAAGTGAAACAATATACCGCTTGATAACGTCAGGCTCTCCAAAACGGAAGATGAAAAGCTGACTCTGGCTTTCTGCATTAGAAGACGCACTGCAGCTGGAGTCCTGCTCACCTGCTTGAGACATGAAAGCTTTTTGTTACAGCAGTCACATTTCATATGACCTTGTTTGTGCAGCTTTTTTGCTTACATATCCATGTCAATATGAACTTTCTAAAGAGTCATACTCTTCCAGAAATACACCAGCGATTCCCACATCAATTCTTTCCTCCTGCTATGGTGTAATGCACAACAAAACAAAAATGTGGCTTTGGTTTTACCTTGTATGAACAGAGTCTGCTGTCTGGTGTTCAGAGCATAAACAGGATTACAGGGAGTGGCAATCCGATGAGGTGTGGGAAGAATCAAGAAGCAAACACTGGTTCTGTTGATGACATCTTGGAGGAACATTTTTCCATTTCTTTGCACCACAAGCGACTAGTTCAATCAAGAAAAATGTGACAGCAGGACTCAAAGAGCTAAAAATGATAATACTGTAAATTATATATAAATTACTTTTGTCTTATGAGCTTGAAACTTTTTATCAAAAACGTCAGTGTTTTTACCAAACTCTGCAGGAATGGCACTGATGCATTGACAGTTGGAAGGTCCCCGCTGTCTTTTGGCCTTTAGAGATATGGGAAATAATGTGTTTTGTTTGCTATAATATGATTGTATTTCATTTGACAGGAACAAGTTAGATGCATCCATTAAATAAGGAAATATGTAAAACTCAGGTAACCTTTTAGAGAGCTGCACTGTGCAGGATTGTGTCCCTCTTCCTGTGGTGACTGTATGAATTGCTCCACTTTTACACAATAACAAAAGACGGACTTTTGCTTCAGTAAAAGTCTGGGAAACATCAGCCGGCTCAGGACTGTAATCCACAAATTGCATCCTGAAGAAGACACTGTCTGTTGCTGGCACTAAGACAACCGACAAAGGAGAACCTAAAGGAGTCTCACACACACACACACACACACACACACACACACACACACACACACACATGATGCTTGCAGATTATTTGAATACTCAAAATTGTTTAAATGTGCAACATTACAATCAAGAGCTTTCAAATAAGAGTATTCTAATACATTGTAGTGCTATAGCTAAACGACACTGGGATCAGATTTGATAACATTTTAGAGATACATCAACGTAGGATTTGCTCACCAGACTGCCTGTCCCACACACACACCAAAGCACCGTCGAGCCCAAGAGCTATGTGACGGCTGCATCTACTAACAGCAGAGCAGAGGATTTCCTTTGCATTTGGCCAAAAAACATCTGGCATGGGTTCCACATCTGCGTCAATAAGGGAAGGGTCAAAACCAGAAAAGTACGTCTATTACCTCTCTAGTACAAAGAAAAAAGTACAGTGGACTACAACTATTAACAACAGCCATCACACCGAGCAGATAACACTATACCTGTTTTGTTCTTCGGTGCTTTTTGCAGCAAATACTGAAGAAGATTATGGCTGCCACTCCACCACACACAGACAGCAACAGGCAGTCCTGCTGAGATGAAAGGTGACATTGCGCATGGGATTTATTAGCTGGCAACTACTTTTGGCAAATGTTTTAGTGGAAAGGGCTCTAAAACAGCAGCCAATCATAGAAAATTCACAAATTCAACATTCAAATCACAGATAATCAAAGCTAACCCTCCCCCTCCAACACAAACCTGGCTGAGACTTTGCTTTACTGCCACCAGGAAACTGACCACAAGGCAGAAGGAAGTGTTGGGTGCAACGTCTGAAAAAAATGTAACGTAACTGATATGAGAAAAGAAGATTGCTGAGCATATGCATTTAGATTTAATGATTTAAATGATTCACAGGCAATATAACTAACAGCACAGTTTTGGTTTCATAAGTGGGGATGGATTAAGAGCAAATCATTAAATAGATACTTAAAGGCTCAAAAATATGCAAAGACTTCAGTCAGATATCATGTAATTATTAAATATATTAAATCTACAACAGGGCTATCAAAGCATCATACATTTGTGTGAACTTTATCGTACCTTGGGCTTTCATTTTTTCCCCTTGTTTTTCCTGCGTCTCTGTTAAAACTCTGCTCCTCCCATTGACGACTGCTGCTGGTGTCTACTTCCAGAGCCAAACAGTGTGTAAAAAAATCTGTCATCTTAAACACCTCAAGTGGACCATCCAATGCCGTCTCTGCCAACGAGCAGAAACATGATGGGGTATTGATTATTCACTGTAATGTGTGCTCCTGCTTATTCTATTAATTGTATTTGTACTGTTGGGAATTAAAACAATACATACAGCTTATAATTACTGACAGAGATGCATACAGGCACACTCGCATCTGCATCTACACCATCACTTCCACTTCCACACACCCACAAACACGCACACGTAAATCTGATTTCTGTTCTGTTCAGTTATAACACACTATAATTGTAAACACTGTTGCTCTAGATATAATTATACCTGCTGGAATTGTGGGTGGCTTGATTTTAATCACAACTGCAACTGGAGACCATTTCATATCCACATCTCCAGATGACTTTGGGTCCTGACGAATAAAAAAAGATTTCAACTAGCTAAACCTGACCTTGTAGTTCGATAACATAGTAGTATCTGGCAGCAGTTAAACAGGTATACATTCTATTTAACACTAGGAATCCCCCAAAACCCAAATCTGTAATAACGGTGAAGAAAGGAGGGGGTAATGTATTATGTATTATGCTAAATATGTGTACAAAGATGAAGAACATAAAAACACTGGCAGCCACTCTGGATTGCAACAGGTTTCAAAGTTAGTGCTCTTCCTGAGGCAGCATCGAGTCCAAGCCTTTTGTATTCTTTATGCCATCACGCGCCTGTATTTGTGCGCATATTTAGCTTTTTTTTCAATGACAATCAAATGTCACTGTTTGTAAGATGCCAAATTTAAATAGATAATCATGTTCAAACCAGCCTACAAATCACATTTCAGTACACTACCTGTTTTTGTGATAGTGCCATCTCTATCTCTCTCAGCCATGCTTCTGAGGGGAAGTGATAAACCTCGAGCCAAACGGCACCGTTACCTGTTAAAGAGGTAAAACACAAGTGGATGAATATTTGAATATGAAGTCTTTAATTAAAAACATAAAATACTAATAGCTCAAACAGGAAGTAAAGTCCTTCCTTACTGCTGATTGACGCAGCTCCATAATCTCCCCCTTCAGACAGTTCAAATGTCAAGCAAATGCTCCTTTTGTTGATATTTTCCTGGTGATGAAATCATTTTTTAAAATCTGTTATTTTTAAATTTATTCCATTCCTAAAAGTATTACATAAATAAAAAAAGATAAGTATATCCTATAAACATACACATCATTTTAAAAACTATCACAAAAAAAAAAAAGAATAAAGCAGCTTGATTTATCCTCAACATTCTGGAGGTATCAACAACACTTGAAAAAACATTTTATTTTTTGTGGTGTATCAAAAACAATAAGATTTCTATACGCACCATGATGTTGATAACACTAAGGGCGTGAATACCTTCACAGTGATATGCAAAGACTCGGGCAACACCTGCAGTGGAAGATGAAAGCACCTGACGTCAGTATGATGACACATTTTGAACACTTTCTGAAAACCTCACGGGGTTTCCAGTTTTAACCTTTCATTCCTCTAATTTACAGCCAGGTGTTATTGTCTCAGTGCAGTACAGTAACAATCCATGACTTCAGGATCAAAGATGTCAATCTGTATTTGTTAATTTGTGAAAGTCTGACATTTTTTTACGAAGGAGGGGATGAGAGAGGCGCACTACCCACCCATATCATCAACCGTGCCAAGCAGATAGGCTGCCTCAGCCATTCTTGTCATTTGAATAGATGTAACTTCCAGTCCGTCCTGCTGCCACTCTGCAGCACAGATCAGAGAAGATGCGCACCACACGGACAAGCCCTGGGAGTGACCCACGCCGAGGTAGCTGCCGTCGTCCGAGCACGCCAGGCAGTTGGTGCTCACTGGAAGCTGACAGATAAGGCAAAACAGTATTCAAACATTATTCCCACATTTCCTTAGAAAACACTGATCTTTTTATTCAATAACTTTATTTTCACTAGAATCAAAAGCAAGGGCTTTATGTGCCTGTTGAGCATTTTGGACATATTTGTTACAGGGCTCCACAAATAACCGTATTTGACATTAATTCAAAAATAATACACAGTTTAAGAAGAGTTTTGTAAGATGGTTTGTCAAATATTTCACGTTTAACATCTCTGTCATGAACTGATTCAGAAATAGCTTCTCCCATCTGTACCTGTGTTGCACCAGATGGTTCCAAACTAGGTGTTTTTATTCTGGATGTTTTGCAAGCTGCTCCCATCTCTGAGTCTGGAGTACCTTCTCTTGTGTACACGGACATCCTGTGAATAATACAAAAATGATGTAAGCAAAGCATTTTGTTTTCTGTAACCTGATGAATTCATACTAGATGGGCAAGAGATCATGGTAATCTACAGGAGTCATGAACACTGTTTGAACTGTCATGTTAACTATATACTATAGATGTCGATGCATTACAATCATAGGATAACAATAAATGAAATGACGTCAGCTACATGTAGGCCACTGTCTGTATCCTGCAGAGAATACATGCACGTTAGCTTATTAGCACATTTAGCGCTAACTGTTTTTCACACCAAACACACTCACGCTGAACTAACGTTGACGTCACATGATGAACGGAAGTGTGAGCTCATCATTACCTTTGGTTTGTTAGCTGTGAATTCAAAAATACTGTCACCTCGAGCCAGCTTTAAATGTGTCACACGAGCAAGGTGTTAAGTGTATCACTGTCGCCGTGACAACGTTTGCCCTGCTGCGGCACGTGGGTACACGGAGGCCTGCGGAGCAGCTGGTAGTAAAGTAAACCTCCTGAGATCAATCAACGCCTCCAGGGCCGGTCTGCTTTTCAGTTTACAGTTCGGTTATTTTCGACTTCCGATATCTGTCAAACCCAAGCTAGTCCATTTATAAAAGGTGTATACAGCGTATATAAGATAAGATGGACTTTATTGTCCCGAAGGAAATTTGTCTTAGACACATACAGTATCGGCTGTTAAAAAATGCAAACATACATACAGTACATACACAGACTGTCGCCAGTCCACATGCACGCACACAGTACCTACAGTACATGCAGACTGCCACCAGCCAACAAATAAATTGCACACTGCCCATCGTACAACACACCTGTAGTCATCGTAATAGGGTACATAATATGTACAGTAAGAGTAGAGCAGCCTCATCAACATAGAATCATCATAGAAAGCACATGTGTACAGTTAACTAATGGTTTAATTAATAGTTGGGACTATTGCGGTTGATTGAATAATTACAATGTATTAATAACAACTTCTATGTTGCCATTTTGTGAAAAACCCCTCTGGCCCTTTAAAATATTGGGTACTAACTTGTAAATGTTGGATTTCAGGGTTTCTAATAAGCCATCACGTTTGCAGTTACAAAAGCTTATAATTGGGTAATGAATTGATTTTAATCCAGATTAAGTGTTCCATTATAGATCATTAGAGATTAATTGAAGAGCTAGAAAGACCTTGCTGTCAGATCATTTCTTTCACAATCTGGAAAGCCAAAAGTTGCGTATGGTTTAATACATTAACTTTTACTGAACCCTTTATAAATGGTAACCTATTTGAAAGCTGTGCCATTTTGTTTACAATGTTGGGTTTTATGCAATATTGCATGTTCTTTTGTGTCTCATCATTCAACGAGCTATGTCGTTTCAGACACTTAATCAATATACCAGCAAATGCAGCAAAACATCACAGTGCAGTACATATGCAGACAACTGCACAGCTGAATAATATTGTGATTAAAGAAAACAGCAATTTTATGATCAATGAATGATGCAGATTACCTGCATCGAAAATTCAAAGAGAAAGGCTCAAAACTAAATCACTTTGATGTTTTTATTCCTTTGAACAACAGGAAAAGAGCAGGTATACACATCTGTCAAATGCAGTTCATAAAACATATTCTCTCTTCTCTGACTCCTCTGACTAAGATGAGGCTTTCCCTTCAGCAGGTATGTAGAACAAGAAAAAGAACACCTACTGTGTGCAGCACTGGTGCTTCGTAAAATATTCAGTCCAAAAAAACAAAACACTTCATGAACCTTTTTTTGTAGCTTGTGATTAAGACTTGCACCGATAAATAAAATGCATTTAGTGATTTTGGAAGAAATATTCTGTCTTCATGACCAGTGATTCATTCATCCTACTCGCATAACCCACAGATAATTATGCTCTTCAATCAACCGCACCATTATACCTGTCCCCGCCCTGAAACCTTCTAATAATTACCACCCACTCCATGATTGGGATTGAGTATTTTCACCATGTTTTTGTGTGTGCTTGAAATATAGCAGGAATCACTGTAGACGATCATCCAATCAAACGTCTCCATGTGCTCAGAGCTGATCAGACGGAACGTCAACATGAATATCAGCGGCAGTATAAACCAAAGTGGTATTCCTAATGATAAATACCTGACCATACATCTCAATGATGATTATGAAAAACAGAGTACCAGAAGGATTACAAATGCAACTGATGAATGAGCAACGCCGTCACAGCCAATCAAACTGTGCATTAGACATTGTGTTTAAAAAATTACATTATGAAACATTTCCTTGAGAAAGTAATATTCAAACGTGTGGGAAAGCCACTGTTGGCATTCATTTGAACAGAGAAATGGTTAGGACAGGTTTAAATGTTACAGCTAACAGGAATATATAAGGCAGACAACAGATGTGTGTGGATAATGACTCCTCGTTGATATTGGCAGTTTGAAGATTTTGTCTTATTAAAGTGTAACATTAAGGCTTTCCATGTCATTGACTGCATGGTAACATTCTGAACAAAAACCACTAAGATCAATTACAATCTGCATGGAAATGTAGCTAGTCTGCTGTCCCCCCCCCCTTTTCAGACTGGGTTTAGTGCAAAAAACTGAATGGGCAATGACTATTAACTGGAAACTGAATGATATGAACCCTCCAGGCTAGTAATTGAAATAGTACCACAACTTTTTATGACAATCCCATTCACTCTCCACAACTGTGTCAGGTCATACAGTGACATAACATGTTCGGTGAACCTTTGATCGGCTCACAATCTCCAATCCAGCTGCTTGGAACAAACAAAACACTTTGATCTAACAAGACCTGACGCACCAAGCCGAGGAGACAAACAGCTCAGAATAAAGGCAGGTGGCTTAAAAATAAATACATCAGTAGTTCTAAGGAAGAAAAAAAGAGAGAAAGACACTTCTATCCAGTGGGTTAGAATACTGTAAACTAGAATTAGGGCCTGATAAACAATGTCAGTAATGGCTTTGGGGAGGAAATCCTCCTCCTTCACCAAATTATTACAACAGCCATCAAGGCCAAGCATGTTGGTCCCTTTACCAGTCACTCAAAAGAAAGGGGTGTGGTGAATAAATACTTTAAACACAAGTGCATTTGGGAGATAGCCTCAACTAAATCTTAACAAGTCAAAACATTTGTATATTTTACTTCTTTTTTTCCAGTGGAATCAGCCGCTTTCAAAATGTTAGCAAGTATTTTAAGAATTTGAAAATGTAAGGACCATATCATGAAGCAAGCTAATCAGATGAATTCAGGTGGAAAGTACGAGCCCCTTAATGGCTGAACTGCAAAAAGATCTTCATTTTAATACATCACTTTATATACACACACCCTAAAAATATTATTTTCCGCCAAGAAGTAAAAATAGTTCACTTGTTTCCTGTACAAAATTGAGTTCTTTAAAAGATTTTGTGAAAAATCAAGTTTCAATATCTTGATGCAAATGCAGCAACGGCTTTAAACTAGTCTTGCTTCACGATAAACGCCTGAAACATTAAGGGGCAAGTAAAACGACCTCACACCGTTTATATAATAAGACATGAAGGCTAAACCTGAAATAAAATAACTTCAAACATTTCAGGGTTTTTTTGCACTGGGCTGCTTCAATCGAATATCATTAATGAGGCAACTCTGATATGGAATGAAAAATGACACTGCATGTCTTTGAATCTATAAAAATGGAAAGGAGAACACTGCCTACAGCAATGTTTGACAACACGTGTCAAAAACAAAAGTAAATAAGTGAAACTCATATTTGCTACACATTTGACATATTTCCATTAAAATGGTTGACACCGACACTGGTTTTAACAACCTCACAAAAACCATGAGGGCAATTTTGTTCCAAAGAAGAGCGTTCCATATAAAATAAATCTGATAAAGGGGAGAGCCAATGCTATGAAGAAGCCTGAGAGACATCATAGTCTATGATTAACTGCTTGATGTAGGACAGTTTCTCATGGAGATGTTCGCAGCGTTTCTTGTCTTCCCGGTAGCCTGGGAACTTCTATGGAGAGAAGAGAGAGAGAGAGAGTTTAAAAAAAGGTTTCACACCACTTGGTATATTCCCTTATTCTCAACCAGCAAATAAGTAGTGTGCCCTCAGCCAGGAGACGGATAATATCAGAGGATGAGAAATATCTTAACTGATGAGGAAGAATGGAGGAAAATGGAGGGCAATTGCAGAATTAATTTTAATATCAGAAGGGTCAAGAGGGGGGCTAATAGCCCTTTCCTCCACTTCCTACCCCCCCTCCTTCCAGCGGCCTCTCTCGGACCACACTCCTCTGCTAACTTGGTCTTCGTTTTGATCTGAAGGAGTCTGTTGAACCTTTATGATTTCATCTGATTTCGCGCAGAATCCCACCCGGTGGCACCGATGACAAGCATGACACTTAAATAAATCTTCTCGCTGGTGGTCTCGTTTGCTTATGTAGTTCATATAGACTCTATATGAACTACATAAGCAAACGAGGCTAACGCCTCTGTATTATAGAGGTATTAACATCAAATTGAGACTGTTTCATAACCAATTAAAAGTTCCTAAACAGTAACTTTAAATAACATGTAGCTCTCTTGACATGTATTCCAGCACTGATGTGGAAAAAAAAAAAAAGACTCCGGTGTGATGATGAAACAAATCCAACAAAATAATTTAAAGAATTTGAATGTTTGACCTACCTTTCGATACTTGTTGTACTTTTCTAGTATTTGGTCTTCCATTATCTAAATGATACAAAACACAATTGTATTACTTACATACATAATATTAATTGAGCTGCATAACACAATACTATTGAAATCATTGCATGTGTGCCATGCATCAGATCAGGTTGTAAATATGCACCTTATATTCTTGTGTGCCAGGGGACAAGCTTTTGATCTTGGATCCAAGCTGAACAAACAGGTGAGTTATGGTGGCGATCCGGGAGTGGAGGTCTTTGTATTCATCATACTCTGCACAGAAATCCTCCTGGTACCTCCCACGCTGCTCCAAGCTCATGATGGCACCATATGTTCTACAAGAAGACACACAGACTTTAACTTATACAACAATACTTTTTTTTGTTTTCTAAAAGAGGCCATTTCCTCAAACGTTCTTTTTATGTAGCACCTCTTTAAGACACAAGATGGCAGCATAAAGATACAGATAAGCTGTGCGCATACTATATGCAACAGTATGTAGTTTGTAAGGGTAACTGCAGTATGTACAAAAGGAAAAAGTATGTGATTTGTAACGCAGCTAAGGATAAAGATACAGAGGTGCCCCCATGCATCACCACTGGAGACAACTATTTATTGAATGTTTCAGTAGAACCAGTTCCTCTTGTGGATGGAGAGAAATAAACGGTTAAAGACTGGGATGGTTAAGATCGTTGCATGGTGAGCATAACAAAATGATTTTAGAACATGTTTACACTCACGGCACATAATCCGGCTTCTCCTCAGAGGCCACAGCATTTGTGATGTCAGGATCTGGAACGACAGCATGGGATGAAGAAAATGACGTTAGCTCCAGTTGAGTCATTACAGTCATCTACATGACACTTTGCCATTGTCTGAACGTTAAGCAATGTATTTTTGTTTTGCAAAATGCAGCATGAGAGTGTGTGTGTGTGTGTGTGTATGTGTGTGTGTGTGGGCGCCCGCATCTGTGCAGACTAGCTAAGAGCTTGTGGGTATCAGTACACCTGCCAGCTTAGGGACGCAAAGCACTGCTCTGGCTGTTGTTGAGTCAATCAGCCACATAACACACTGAGGACCCAAGAGAATGGGCTTAAGGGAGCCAACACAGTCATGCTTGTGAGATAATACTGTATAAATGAACCAGTGGGCACGGTCACTCAGAGAGACCTCGCACACAATCGCAACTGGCCATCAGCTCACAGTCTCTGTGGTTAACATGTTATTCTAAGTATAGCGGAGGGAACACAGTGTTTTATAGATTGGGCCATATAACAGATGTAATATTCAGACAAAAAATAGTCAGAGAAGCAATAATGTGATATCTCCAAACTTTCTCCAAGTCCGACCGCCACATGGAAGTCAAAAGGGAGGAAAGAGTTTATCACACAATATGAAATGTTAAAATCTATTAACAACCCTCTTCTTCACTATGTTGACTTTCAGGACGCGATCAAACGGTATAAATGCTAGTATCAGTCACAAGGACGGTCTACGTAAAAAAGGGCCTTACTGTCAAGTTTGTCCAGGTTCTGCTTGTGATCAGGACTCGTCTCCAACCATTCACAGCCCTTGTTGTCTTTTAACCTCTCCCGCTCCTTGTCTTTGTGCTTTTTAGATTTCTTCTTCCTGTGCTGGCTGTTGGCGAGCTGCTGGTGAGCACAGTCAGAGTCACCCTGTGGTGGCTGGTGGCTGCTTACTTTGGGTTCTTGATCACTGCTCTCTGAGACAGGCGTGTCAGAGGTGCTGGGCAGTTTGTGCATTACAGGAAAGCCATTGTGTCCCCCCGGTAAGCTGCTTTGGTTGCCAGTATGGTTACTTGTCCGTTGAAACTCAGTCTTTGTTTGGAAACTGGGGCTGAGCATAGGAGCTGCAATGTCATGTCCTTTGTTGTTTAACACTCCGTTTACTGTGGGCTGCTGTTGCAACTTCTGGTCCGCAGGTCTTTGTCTCTTAAGAGCTAGCTTTTCCAGTGAGTCAAAAGGCACGGGACGTTTCTGGAAGGGAAAAAAAAAAAAAAAAAAAAAAAAAAAAAAAAAAGATCAAAATGAACCTCAATATGTCCTTACAAAACAACCTGCAACCTAGCTTGTGGAGCTGATGCTACTTACAAAATACCATACACAGCCTTTACTAATTGACTTCACCTGTACAGTGTAAAAGTTAGCAGTCATCAAAATCCAATCTATAATGTATACCTACATATACATGCATGGAATACTTATATTACAAACCGTCATGAAAAAACATCAAAGTTAAAAACAGATTGGTCATTTTTACTTCATGCATCACTGTGTACTATTGTGAAATGCTTTGGTGTGTAATGCGAAAGTGAGGGGTGGGGGGGTCGGGGGGGGGCAGTCAGACAGAGATTTCTCCATAGAGAATGCATGGATGGCATTATTTCACTTATAATATTCTGATTCTATTTGTGTGCTATTGATACGATGGTAAAATGTATCACTTTTGTTTCTGTTAAAGAACAATACATTTGTTTAAAAACAACAAACACTTTCCACACTTTCACACATTTAAAGTTCACTGAAATATATAACGGCCATTTACCACTGCAGGGTTTTTAGCTGTGCTGAGATGTAGTGTCGTATCCTCTGAGGTCTTCAGCATTGACACATTTGCTTGAAGATTCCTTGATTGGTGGCTGATGTGTGGCTGCAACTTCCTGTTAGAACAGAAGGAAAGAAAAAGACAATTCACAGGTTAGACAAAAAAATATTGGAGTCAATTACAAGTTTGTTGTAATAGATGGCATGTCCGTTTGGTTCAGCTTGTGCCTCTGACTCACCTGGCCAGCAGCCTGTTGATCTGCTGCCTCTCCTCCTCGCTGTAGCCTGGCCAGTCCCTCTGCACATGCTTGTAGAAGTCATCCCTCAGCAGGTAGCTGCTGTCTTTGGGATTCACTTTCGCCACCTGAAATAAAATACCCCGTATGATGTTACTTTAAACTCCCATTAAAGTCCTTCATTTCTTTATTTTATAAAAAACAAAACAAATTGCCTTTATGTTAACTTAGATTATGTTAATTAATGCCCTGGGATTTATGGCAAATGAACAGTGATCTGTCAGAATCCAGTCCAGAATTAAAAATATGCATGGACCAGTATACATTTTGAAGGTCTGTGTAAAATAAAATTCACACTTGTAATATTCCATCTTATATTTTGTCAACCACCGCATTTAGGCTGGTTCCAAACTTGTGTTATCAGGATAAATCAACCACCACATGTATAGAAACTATAGTCTATTTTTTTTTTTTAAAAAGGTATTACGAGGAACTTTGTGGACAAAAGCTGTAATCTTTCGAGCACCAGAATCCCTCTCGAATCGTCATTTTACTGCAGCAGTGTCCGACAGTCGGCCCCACTCAGTCCTGGTTCTGGTTCTCCCGTGCCTCCCTTCCCTCCAGTGGGCCCAGCAATATGGCCCTTATTTGTAATAAGTGAGTAAAATATTACGTGCTGAAAGTGGCACATCCACATTCCTAAAAAGCAAAACCCTTTTCTGAGATTCTGTTCCCAACTTAAGAGTCTCCGGCTTTAACCTCCTCTCTAATCTCTTCAGACTGACGTTCTCAGAGGACATCTATCTTTCTGGGGCCGCCTGACAGAGCAGCCCGCCCCACTGCAAACACAATCTCTGCAGAGGCAATTACAGCATCGACCTAATTACACACATGCACGGACACGAAAACCACATGCAGGCAGACACATCAACAAGCACAAGGGCAGTAAATACTCAGACACACCAATGCTGACACACAAACATTTAGGAATTACACAAAAATGTATACAGGAAAGTCACATGAAGTAAAGTTTTAGATCTCATGTTTAATCAAAGCACAGCTGCCAAATTTCTTTATCATTCTTTTTTTTTTAATTCGATGTTCGCCGTTTTTAATGGTGTTAAAACGCCTTTTAAAATGTGTTAATGGCTGACTGTAACGCTGTAGTATTTACGGTATATACATCAAACACGTAGGCAGTGTGAAAATGTATAGATCAACACAAAGCAACAGTGTCCACAATGATTTTTAAGATGTGTACAAGACTGTTTGGATTCTACACGTCATATAAAACATACAAAACTTCTATGAGCAACCAATCTGGCATGCAAGTATGTACATACAGTACAATATGTTTATATATGTGCGCAAAAGTTATTTCTGCATACCTCCTCCAGTGTAGCACCCAGCTCGGCCTTGTCCTTTGGGCCGGCTCTCTCTCTCTCCAGCCACAGAAGCAGCTCTGGTTTCCTGTAGGGTTTGAGAGCTAGTAGGTGGATGATGCGCTCCCTCAAGGGCTTCTGGGTTGGCGTGGCCATACCGCCGTTCTTCCTGTTGTTGGTGGACTGCTTGTAGAAGCTGCTGTCTGATGCAGACAGAGGAGCTGGCTTCTTGTGGAGCTTGACACATTTAGCTGAACACAAAAAAAGTAGATAAGTGTAAGTGATACTCAGTCATACAGTGTAATTCTTAAAGTTGTATTTGTATTGCATTGCCTCCGAAAACTGTTTGAAACTGTTCGTTTGCTGCATTTTACATCCAAAACAATTCTTCGCCTTCAAATTTGTCTCAGCAAGTCACAAGACATCTAATCTTAGGAATTTCCTGAAATTTAAACTCAAGCTAATTGGAACCGATTTGTAAGCCCCGAGCAAGGAAACTCTACAACAGGACTTCAGTGAAATGTGTCATGCAAGCTTTAACAAATAAAACATTTCAGATCAAACAAAAGCAGACGACAGTTAAAGAAAACCAGATTTTACAATTCTCACCATTGCTTTTACCCGGTCAACGTTTGAACATATACTCTCTGGTCTTAACAACTGGTTAACTTGACTAATGGGGCGACATTCATTAAATATCCTTCACTAACCTTTAATCAGCTCAAATGTACATGTTGGCCTGCAGCTAGTTGTCATTAGATGTAAACACCCCATTGATCATTGCTTACATCTCTGCTGCAGGCAGACGGGTCAGTGAAAGCTTTCTCTCTGTGCTAATCCCATTACAGGTTAATCTGCTCTTTGAAGGTCAGAGTGGGGCAAAGATACAGAAAAAATAACACTTTCCTTTCAACCACAAAGGTGTGGCCTGCCAAGTGGTAATAACACCATGCATGACAATTACTCTACTAGCAGACATAAACGCTGATAAAAATACACAGAAGCATGTGCTAAGTATAGTGTGGGATGTATGGAGCATCAGATGCATGCTGCATGGCTGATAATATGAACACCTCCTCGGGCTAAAAGGTGCATGTAGGGTGCAGTTAATAAAGGTTTCCCTATGGCCATATATGTTGCTATGTTATCTTAACCTAATGTTACACAATCGACACAGTCTAAATCTGGACTAAACCACCCAGAGTCTCATCTTCCCTGGAGGGGTCCAGAATCAAGCCAAGAAGCATTATTACATAAGAACGGCAAAGGTTGAGTAAGAGAAAAAAAAAAAGAGAAATAAAGAAGGAAAGTAGCTTCCCAGTTCATGTTTCTTCTCATATCATTAATATGTTGTAAGGTATAATTGATGGCTAAGGTCTGGGACACATCAACACTTTGGTAAACGCTGCATGAAATGTGTTGTCTGTCAAAATTCAAATGGTGCAGCAATAAATTGTTCCCTGTGAATTCTTGCTATTCAGTTTCGTGGCAAACCTCTACGTAACTATTTTTGTGTATATGTTTTGCAACAACAGGGAGACATTTCTGCACAAGAATTAAGTTGTTGCTAAAAAAAATAAACTAGTTACAGCCCTATGGAGCTAATATTTCATCTTCGTAAGCCAAGTTTTAGAGATACAACCCCCTGCAAACTACATTTTTCAACAGCATAAACAGAAAGGACCTGGCTTTCAATCTTTGAATTGGCCTCCTTCCTCTGAAATGATGGTTAAAAGCAGATGCTGACTTCGACCAATACAAATCTTCCATTTCGCCAACATTCTTTTCAAAGCCAGATGTAGAGGTGAGACTAAATAGGACTTAACAACCTGACAAACAAAAGCCAAAAGAATTGTACAAGATAAATAAAAAGAGGAGAGTTAGCTTTTAGTCTTAGTTCTACAAACTAAAATGTGGCTTGCACATCTGGTTTCATTTCACATCAAAATAGAAAAATATCTGGTTTCCAGCTTAAAGCAAAGAACACAGCATTATTTTCTCAAGTGAGGCACATATCCCAATTGCTTTTATTGGTGCTATTATATTTCTATTTTTATATGACATCATTGAATCCACATTCAATTTACTGATCCTTCTCCAAGCTTAAAGCTGTTTGGCCTCTCCCCCACGAACATCTGCAGATGCATCATCCTATGATCCTGTGCTTTTGCACCTCAGGGACCTCTGTTCTATTCTTACGTGGATGTGTGGCTCCGGGTTTGATCTCAATGGCAGAGCGGCTCCAGCTGTCCTTCTCCACCTGAGACATCCTGTCACGGGTCATCTGGTAGGAGTCGTCGGTGGCGCACACTGTGATCTTGTCCTGGATGATGCCTTGACCTTCCAGCTGCTCGCGGCTGTCACTGCAAAAACAAAAACACGGAGCCATTAAACCGCAGGGCTTTCTGCTGGCTGTACAGTAAACACTGTAAAGACATAGGCCTATAAACTATCTCAGGGCAGCATACCAACATGGACGCCATGCAGAATAAAGTGGCTTTGTGGCAAGAGCTGGCAAGGACAGGTCTATGGTTACTGTATGTTATGTCACACACTAGATATAGCTCTGCAGTCCGCTGCATGTGAGAAAGCCACATATGCTGGTTCAAAGCAGGGTAGAGCCTGTGCAAAACCACCAGGATTAGCTTGCCTCCTGCCAGCACACTTGCAAAACGAAGATTGTCTTGGACAAAAGAATAAAAAGTTAAATACATGAAGCTGGTCTGCATTAATGCTGTAAATAAATCAAGGATTTACTATGATGCCAAAGTCTTTTTTTTTTTTCATATTTAAAAAATAGGAGCCTTTTTCCCCCTCTTCCCAAATACATTTTCATAACACAATAATAAACAGGACTGACCAGTGATGATTTTTCCTCTTTATCCTCTAAATAGCAAAACTAATGTGAAGGCAGAGAGAGCAGGATCTTGCCCTCACACTGTTACGTTGTTTGTCTTGGCTCCAGCAGACGACTTTGAGTTCAGACCACAGTTAGCCATCTGGCAGCAGGAGGCAGCAACAGAGCATAACTCTCGGTTTCCAGGCATATCCACTCCATAAACAAGGCATCACAGGTCTCAATAATGAGAGGGTCAGCCCAGAAATATACAGGAAATTTCAATTGCCCCATCCTGTGTACAGCAAGCTGACTGTCTCTCTTGATGCCCTCAGAGACGTGGGCACACAGAGAGCGGAAAGACCGGCGACTTATGAAGATGACAACAAGGTACTGTCTGGGGTCACACGCTCAAACACAAGCATCTAAAATTGTTGTGACTGATAAATCTGGAACATTAGCTAATTGAGCTTTGCTTGATTATTTGTTTCCAGAAAATATTTGCCTTTGCTAATCCATGTGAAAAAAAAAAAAAAAAAAAAAAAAAGTTTTTTCCTGGAGCTTAAAAGACAAGATCGTGAATCAGGATAAAAGTAGGGTAATGTTTTCTGAAAAAATGACTAAATAGTACTTAATTTAGACTTTAATGCATGAACATAGGTGAAACAACAACTTTCAGCTGATTAACTCCATACCTTGAAACATATTGATGGATGCAGTCGAAGCTGGCTTGAGGTTGGTCTTTGCTGTCGCTGGATAAGTAGAAGGAAAAGACGCGGAGTGTAGAAGGGGACTCTGGTGTGGGAGCTGGGATCTTGATGAACTACGCAGAAGAACAGAAGAAATTCAGATTTTACTGAAAAACATACAGGCAGATGATTGGCAAAGTGTTGCATAGACAAACAAACAAAAACAAACACACAACACTAAATGCAGTCACCCATATGCCAGGTATGTAAGTATAAACAGGTTATGTGTATATGTGTCCATAATAACACATGACTGAAGAAAATGATACCAGCAATTTATTTTAACAAGTGTTTTCTTAAGACCAACCAAGTTCATACATCTTTTGTTATCTTTCAAACTGTCAACTTTTTGTACAGAACAGTAATCATCTATTCAGCAGAATTTCAGAGGAACTCTGCTGCCAAACGCATTGTAGCCAAAAGCACAGAGACATCCAAACACAAGGTTTATGCAATCAATATAAATCTTTTTGTTTGTTTTACAAATGAACAGCCCAGTGCAAAGACTAGACACTGACAAATGTAGCTAAAAGATCCTAAATAAATAGTTAATCCTAAAATAACACTACCTCTAAAAGCCTGCTAGTATCTACTAGATGTTGCAACGTCAAATGGACCAAACTGACATACCAGAAGGGCAGCTAACAAACACACAGCTTGTAAAACACAAAAGGTAACATGGCCATTGAAATTTAACAGATTTATCCTCTTGGGAGCATGAACGTACTCAACAAATGTAATGGCAGCTAGCCCAGTAGATTATGGGATATATCGTGTGCCGATCTTATATTCTGGCACATGAAAAAAGCTCATTAGTTTCTTAAAAAGGACAGTATGAAACTAATGAGCTTTTTTCATATGTTGGGAAAAGCCTACTGAATACAGGTGACATGCATGCAAAGTCTTCCTTCAGAGTACAAGAAGAAAGTACACGCATGACCAGATAATTGTCACTGGAGAAAATCTGTGAGATAATGAGAACATGTAGTACAGCAGTTGGACTACAAAGTACTTTGTTTACAATGGATGATCAGTTTGGAAATATTACAATGTCATAAAATGTCATATGTGCCTTTAGGAAACACCAACGGCAATCCACCACTTGCACATCTTGTTTTCGTCACATCTCCAGGCAGACTTGCATGTACAAATGAGTCACACACACAGACAAAAGATCTAGAGTGAGACTTTGTGCCGCTCTGTAACTTTAAATAAATCTCCTTGAGTAAACAGCGTTTTTAAGAGTCCGCTCCACTGAGGCGTCCATGAGATCTCCTGGCAGACTCAGTGGAGCGCAGCAGAGCCAAGGCTGCAACCTCCAGGGCAGACAAATGCACACATGAACACACACGCACACACATATAATAACAGATCAGGAAAAATGAGGATCAGAAAAAGAAGAAGAATCTACACTGATTTGACCACTGAAAAAGATGTAATTGCATGTTTGCGAGAGCAGAATTCTGAAATACTCCTCTACTTCACTGCTATTTTCATTTAGCTTTATGGGAAGTTTCAGGACTACACTGCAGACGCACTACAGGAGTTTCAGGAAGCACATGAGTGAGAAATGGCTACAGAGAGATACTCCAGCTAGTCAGGAACTTCAGTAAACATAGTAAGTTAAATATCTTAGACAGAAAGGTCCTTGTGCAGAGGAGATCCACACTGTCTTCACAAGTATTCTTCACTGTGTCGGCAAGGTCAGCAGTTACCCAGCAATCACATTCTTCACGCTGCAGGCAGCTGTGCCATCTTTTATTGGGGGGGGGCAGCTTTAAGCGTAAAGTTATCCTGGGGGATTTCCTCTACTTTCTCCGGCTGTGTCCCTCTGCTCCCACATGATGCCAACCCACTCAGTCATCCATGTCCACCTGTGTGTGTGTGTGTGAGACACTGGCATCCACATAAGCTACAGGGGTGGACAGTATGACCTCAAATTTATGGCGTACGCTATGTACAGTGTAATATAAAACCACTCTACGATACCGATGATACGATACTGGTGAACAAAGCTGAGCATTTAACAACTTAAGACAGAAAGTTATTATTGGAGTAACATTCAGATGAATGCAAACATGACACCAAATGAATGCGCATGTTTCTCCGTGTCCAGTGGATGTGTGTATAGGCAAAGGTTTGCTAGCATGTTTGCCACATCAAATTAAATAGTTTCGTGTTGTTTTTATAGCTTGTTCCTGCTGCCCCAAAATAACCAAAGAAAAACCAAAATCAGCAGATTTAAGGACAATATACGTACAATATTCCTCACAATGCTTTTATTACTAATGTAGCAAGAGTCCACATGCTGCTTTACAGAATGTTTTTTAACACTGAACGTCCAAATCAATAGGTAATTATGGTTTATTTTAAAAGATTTTAGTTTGCCAAATTTGCATTCGATTTAATGTTTAACTTCTCTTGGTGCAAACCGTCCGGTAAACTGGTTATCACTATAAATATTTTAAGAAGGCTGTGAACTCAATCTGAACTAATCATTTAGTGAACATACTGTGCAGCCCACATTGAGCAGGGTGGCCCTTTGCTTTTGTGCCGTCCTTAAAAGTCCCATCAGATGTTTTGATGAAAGTGTGCAATAAAGCAACAGAGACGTTGGCTCTCCTCTCTTATCAGGGTGCTGCACATGTCTTTACAAGCAGGCTTTCACCACAGGAATTCATGCTCACTATATACGGCTGAGCTCTGACAGCACTGAAAGACACAGACCAGCTTGCTTGTAGCATTTGTGACACTACTTATAATCGAATGAGTTTGTGATTATTTAATATTTGCCCGTCTATCCCATCAATGATGACTACCTGCAATTATGATAATCGTTAAAGTTCTTATCTCCCTAAAAAAAAAAAAAAGAGTAGCAACAGGGCTAAGGCTAAGGTCGATGTCTATTTGGCTGTTTCATTGAGACAATTTCCTAAATGAGAAATTCACTGTGTCTACCTAGCAAATGCTGCTCATGTGGGTTTCTTGAAACAGCCCAGACAGATGGTGAAGAGCCCTGTTGCTTGTTTTGAATTCCACTCCCAGTGAAATCCAACTTGCAAGTGTGATTAGCATTTCCTGGGGAGGTATTGATACTTTGAAAGGTTAAGTGTGTGGCCGAGTGCCAACGGGAGCCAATCTGTAAGATGTAGGAACTCAACACAGTTGAAAGTTTTTGTCAGAGTGAGTTCACACATCCTTATTTGAGGATGCCTGGAAGAGCTGCAGATGTAAAGCACTTCTAGGTGAAAATTAAGTGTTTTACAGAAGTTTGAAATTAATTCTTGATACCCAGTCTGTGCAACTCAGTCAGTGAGGAGATCATCCTTCAATCTTCCTCCACAGTAACAACAATTAATAATGTGCACTCTGTGTTCAAGGGATTTCAGCTGTTGCGAACGTGTCCAGTCATGCATCGCACCCAGGAGCACTGGTTGGCATTAATCCAGTGGTGGCTGCTCGTATGACCTCTGCGGGCAGACTTAAAGACCCCCGCTATGCAAACTACAACAAGCACTCTCGTTCCCAGATGCTGGGGCCCGCATCAATGCCTGCTGCATTCTCCTGAGAGGCACACATGGCAATTCACACACAGAGAGGCGCTCTTACAAAAAGGACTTAAAAGAATTCAACTGACCATGAATAATGAAATATTTATTGTCTTCCTTTCAAGTAAAATATTCAGGGAATCTGTGGCTTGATCTTTGCGATTCTTGGATGAAGCAAAAGAAAACTGAAGCAACAAAACAAGCACTAATAAAGTTACCAAGATGGCAAACACACTTCCTGCCAAGGGTCCATGCATTAGAATTGAATATAAATATTGCCCTACACTTGGGTGACTTATGACCTCAGTAATTCTCAGTGACCCTGAAAGGTCAAAAGGCAAAGAGGCGAACCTAAAAAAAGTGTGTTTCAACATATAATACATTCTTTGAACCGAACTCATGGCCCCTGGTGCCAACTAACTAACATATTCGCCCCCAAGACACGCCAGTCTTAACCCCAAAACCTGCCTCTGTTACTCTTAACATTCCCCATTCTCATTAACGAAGCTAGGACAGCCTCCCCCTGGTCGATCCGTCTTTTCAATATTTCCTCCCCTGCCTCCGTCACCAGTAAATGTCTAAACGTTCCCATTTTTGTTCTGTGCCATCAATCTCTCTCGGAGGCATTACTCTTGGCGTATGCCTGTGTGTCCATCTGTTTCCTCCGTATGCAAACTTCTGGCTTCAATTCAGCTGTTAAGTTGTTTCTGTGTGTCTGACGGACTCCTTTCAAGTTTTAGAATTATAGAACAAAGGAAAATGATCTGAAGGCTTGTTCTTTATGCACATACAAATTCAAGGAAATCAAATAGATGTAATGAGATGTTACCGTTTCACTGGTGTGACCAAGCTTGCAGGAGAGAGATGTCGATCAATCAAACACTCTAATTAGCCTCATTAAGTTAAGTCTATACTGAACTGAACATTTCACACACGCATAAATCAGCACACATTCATTACCTCAGGGCCTCCAAGAATTTTTGGTCGTGCTCTAGTTATACAAATCATTTTGGAAAAGAGGAACAAATGTGAAGATATTTAAACTTGTCACCTCATCAGCGTATGTAAGAGAAGGTAGCAGCAGTTTAAGGTTTGGTAAGTCATTACCTGCAGTTCTGGCACCTCTGTGCAAAAACAGGAACTATTTAAAAAAAAGAAAAGAAAAATTCAGCAGCTTAAGTTTCGAAATAATAAAAGTAAAGACAGTCCGTGTGTGTGGCGACAGTATCTTAATGAGCCACAGTTCACTCTCGACTGTCATAAATGACTCCACACGTAGAAGCCGCAGGACGGGAGAGGCTCATTTTCCTGGCTTTATCAAACTATAAAGTCGATTGAACAAAAACTGTGAGAGACTGCTGTCGGTGCACAGGGTTATGTTTCCTGCTAGCTTTTGGTTGAATGTGGGGTCTGGGTGTAGATCTCATGCAGGCTATTGTTTCCACATCCTCTGCAGCCTGAGTAATGGCCTTCTGAAAACAGCCAGTCTTTTGTTCTGGCCTCCTTGGCTCCAGAGTGGGATGCCATGGCACTGCTTCCCCTTTCTGGTTGATAGGAGGAGAGGGAGGAGGTGCTGGAGGAGGCAGTGAAACCTGTCGCCACCACCGCTGTCTGTTATCAGCAGGAGGCAAGTCCCTCTGGGCCCGGTGCTAATGCAAACCGTGTGCAAGTGTGTGTGTGTGTGTGTGTGTTAATCCAGCGTGAGCAAAGAGAGGCTCAGCTCCAGCTCCTCTCACCAGGGTGTAATCAGCATTACTGCCACTCATAAGGCTGAGGAGGAAGAGAGGCCAAAGTCTAGCTATCAGCCAAATATCTCCACCACTGGCTTAGAGGCACCCACAAGGACAGACACAAACACATACATACGCTCAGCCAGCCAGCCAGCCAGCCACCACCCTCATCCTCACTAAACAAAACTGCTCATCATCTCATCACAAACAAAAGACACGAATCGTTCCCAGGGCCACAAGTTGACACATGCCATTTAAGAAGAGTCCCCTCCCCAATGGAGGACAGCCATACAAAACACAATGTGTGTCTGTGTCTCCGGCCGAGTGGAGGAGCAAGGGACGGGGGGCAGCAGAGGAGGACATACAAAGAGAGAAACTAGAGATTTTGTGTGCTTTGGTGTGCGTTTATGATCCCACAGTCAATTAGTCAATGCTTGGAGCTACGCAGTGTCTTCTCCCTAGCTGAGTTCCACATGCTGGCACTGGGTGATTAATGTGGCTGCCTTTAGTGGGAAACAGTGCATGTAATCAAGCCCCAGCCTGTAATCGCCTTCCATTCCTTTTCATTTGCAATTTCACAGAGGGACAGAGCCACTGCCAGAGCTGCTAGCTCCAGTATTTGGGGGAGAGGAGGTTGGGCATAAATGAGGAGGAGGGGGAAAGGAAGGGTGCTTTGCCACAAGCATCCCCTGAGGCCCCCCCCCCTCCTATGCCAACAACAATAAGTCTCTGCCTGGTGCCACAGGGCCAAACACTTCAACAAATTGTGGGTCACTGTTTTTGACAAAAAGCTCCTCCTTCTCTCCTCCCAAGAAAAGTGGGTTCTTCCAGAGAATGCTATGTTTTCACACATGCAGGGCCATACCATGACACACATGTGTGTATGGGGGGGGGGGGGAACAAGTGCCCTTTTATGCCTCATTAGCTCACAGTGTCACAGGACACGTTCCTCAGCGAGCCATGATGTGCTCCATATCTCCAAGTTGCTTCATCGGAGAGAGAGCACATTTTTCTGCAGCCGCCGCTGCTGGATCTCAGAGGGCCACTTGTCCGCTCCTTGCACTCACACGTTCGCTAAATAAATATGTAATCAGGCCGGTGCACAAGATTTTCATTCTTGGCTTTTTTAGAGAAAGTAGCAAGCTATAACCACCAGTGTTTAAAACATCATAATCACTCAACAATACACACACACACACACACACACACACACACACACACACACACACACA